CAAGGGGTTGGACTGGATGGCCCATGAGGTCTCTTCCAACTCTTTGATTCTATGATTCTATGATTCTATATAGCCAGGTGCACATTTCACGAGGGATTATTCTTAAGATCTCAACTGAAATACCTTTCTCTCTCTAGTGGCCCATTCACCATGCCTCTGAGAACAAGAGGAACCAAGAAGGGCCTCAGAGATGGAGCACCATTTTTAACCTGGTGAAGGTTATAGTCAAGACATTCTTGTAGGCCTCCTTGGAGGAAGCACTGAGCAAAAATATAAATAGATAAAATTTCTTAAGATTCAAAATCTTAAGAATGACATCTGTAACTCTTAGACCAAATAAAGGTACAGATATTCTTGAGATGGCAATATGGTATGGGAAAATGCATTTTGTTAAATTTGTCCTACTCTGGAATATTTCATGGAATATATCAAGCATTCTTAACTTTTCATTGCAATTTAAACCAGGAAATAAGGAATGGCTTAAAAACGAGCACAGCCAATAATGCTATAGCCATATGTTCTGTTGTTTTTGATTTTGTCATAGCCACATTGTGAAAGTGGTGGATTGCAGCAAACTGAAGCCCAGTTTTCTTTGAATATTAGAAAAAAGTCTGATCATAATGTTGCTAAGTAACAGCAACGAAGGGAAAAGGGTAGCTATAATTCAAGATTTAAGAATAAAATACATATTAACAATACTTTATATTCAGTTACGTGTAACTGAAGTACTCTTGCTCTTAGTAGCCTTGCTCTTGGACACTGTGATGTCATTTGAGAAATGATAATTTTAAAGACATATTTATTGTTTTTCAAGATGTGTTATTACTGTACTGTTCCCACACAGACAAACAGAATATAGGTCAGGCTGCAGATAGGAAATTCCACATTTATTCTAAAAGGAAAGGGCTACCTGAAACTTATAAGTAACAGCTGTCTAAGAAGTTCTTCTGTGGCAAAAGGAAGAGAATACTATCTCTTATTCTGGCTCTTGATTACTGCTACCAAGCTTTATAAGAAAATACGAATTTTCAAGAATTGAGCTCATGTCACAAACGCACCTGGATTGGTTCCTGCTGTTTAAACACAGGGCTGAGATCAGGTAGAATTAGTTTTACATATTCTTCTTTGGTACACTCCTCCGCAATTAGCAGAACATTGGGCAATACAAAAGGTACCATGTCTGGATTTACAAATTCAGATGTCAAGCAAGGTAAAATCCTCTGCACTATAACACGCTAAAAGAAAACAGACATATTAGTTGTTCGTACTTACTTGTTTTCTTCAACAATCCTACATTTATAAGTAATTTCATACAATTACTGTATTTTTTCAATTCTAGGATGCACTTTTTCCCTATATAAATCTCTAAAAATGGGGTGTTTCTTTGAATCGGCAGTGTATCTTATGGATTTTTGGTGGTTGTGGTACTGAAATCACAACTGATGGCATCTTACAATTGAAGAAATAGGATACTGAAGATCACAATGGTATTATAAACTTCTTAAAAATAACACTATATATCTATTTGACTTATAACTTGTAAATCTGCACCTGTCTAAGCTGTCAGTAAAAGAAACTGTTAAGATCCTTTGTATTTCAACCCCCAAAATACAATCTATTATGAAGTAGTAATGAATGATTCAACTAAAAGCGGGGGGGGGGGGGCACACATATGTCTATGAAAATATCTATAAAATAATTTGAGTTTGCCAACCTTGGGTAGCTTGGGTAAAACTTTTGGCAGCCCTTTAAAAAACTGGGATTTTTGAAGATTATCCCTTTGGAATAAAGAATCAAAATACTGTAGTGTCATAGCCCCAACATCATCAAAAAATGGAATCTGAAATAAATATGAAAAAGGAAGTTACATTTGATGTTATGCTATATATTACAAACAAATTTGCATAAACTTTGAACTGGAAAATAATCTGGATGGTAGCAATGGTAATGGAAACATTTCTTATGGTATTTAAAAACATGACCTATTTTTTATATAGCAGCATAACATCATCTCCTTTAAAAAAACATATTCTGCCAGGCAACAGTTCCAGTAAATCACTCACTTGCATTGGTAATAAAGCAATTTAAACTCTTTCACTACAGAAATATTAATAAATATATTCTATAATTTTCATAAACTGGAATATTGCTCAAAGCAAATTAAATATTTAAAAGTAAAATGCTAATTGCTTATTAGAGTTGCTAAAATGGCTTTGTGTTATTTCCTGCAGCTATTTTAAGTAATCCTTCTATTTACCCACTTTAGTCATTTGGTCTGCATCTGGTCTGACAGCAGGAGCGACATTTAAAAGTAGCTTGATATGCTCACAGACCTCTTCTGGGATGTTTTGAAGATTGTTGGCACCCAAGCGGCTAAGCTGGACAAATAAAACACATATTAGTTACATCAATAGATAGTGTGCTTATTAAAATCAAGCTAGATATGTCAATACATTCTGATATGTCCTACTTAGTTCTTATAAATGTAGGGAGAAATGGCAGGATGGAGGCATGCTAGTCCTAGCACCTTTACTGCTCTGAATTTCAAGCTTTCCTGATTGTGTGAAGAACACCAGTGGATTGACATGTCCTTCCTTTTTGGAAAGTTGCTCTTCATATAAGGAAAACCTCAACAAGATGGCGGGGTTAGCAAACCCCCTTCCTTTCATATGTATTTTAAGTACATTTCTAATTCCTGAATAAGGAGATACACAACTATATTATATGGTGTGTGTGCATGCACCTACTGTTTCAAATATAAGCAAACAGTTGGACCACATAACAAAATTCTGTAATGTTTTTATTTAAAGAAAAGGTGGGAGTTATGTAACCCTGCGGATGTTGTTGGACTGCATGTTTCGGCAGATGTACTCAGCACAGTATAAAGAAAGCTGAGAGTTGCAGTTCAACAACATTGTTTGTCAGGGTGCCAATCAACAGCATTCTCTTTTAGAATGCTGCTGCTTCCTCTTGTGTGCTTTTTAATTTTATTTCCCAAAGAATATTCACAGTCAACTAATTGGGGTGTTTTGGGAAAGTTTCCTGCCTCAACATCTTAAAAGAATACATTTTGTATTCTAACAAGGATGTAAATACATCCACCTTGCTTTTCATGCCCTCCATTTCTGCCATTTCACTACAATTTACTGTCAGGAGGAATGATCTTTGATAATGGTGCATATATTATCTAGTTGTTGTTCAATTTAGGAGTGGCAACTATTTCTAAGTGGTTCTGCCGATCACTTGAGGAGTCCAAGTTTCGTGCTTGCACAATGAATTCAGCACATTTTTACTTGACTTATCTTTGAAAATGCATTGCCCCAAAACTGTAAGCAGTAACTCTTTCATAATGATGCTTTAACAAATTCACAATATACCTGATCGAGCTGTCTACTGAAACTTTTGTAAATATCTTGCTTGTTGACCTCAAAAACAGGTTTTCCATTATTAAACACAGCATACATAACTGCTCCTAAAGAGTACATGTCACTAGCCGTCTCACAGCTTACTGCAAGAATGTATTCGGGTGCCAAATATTCAGGATTGGGAAGACACAAAGATGGTAAGTTTGGGTCCCATTCTTTACAAGAGTATTTTGGCTGCAAGGAAAAAAGAAACAATAAGAAGAGTGTTTTCTAGCATAGGTTTAAAAACCATTATCAAAACACTGTTTCTTAACACCTCAAAATGTGAATTTAATGTACTAAAGCAGAGTTTCTCAAACTGTACTCCTCCAATGTTTTGGACTTTAGCTCCCACAATTCCAAACAGCCAGTAAGTCCAAAACATCTTGAGGAGCAACACTGCCCTAACGAGATGGGGACTTTTAACAAGGATTTGAGAGAAAACTGAATTTAATCTTTCAGCAGTGGAATACAACACTGAAAGAAGCCAATTTTATACCAGCTGTAACTGAAATTTCATTTCAAAGGTATATTTCTTTCCATTATTACACCAGTGGTTCTCAACTTATGGGTCCTCAGGTGTTTTGGTCTACAACTTCCAGAAATCCCAGCCAGTTTACCAGCTGTTAGGATTCCTGAACCACTGTACTAGACAAAGCAACCCTATTTAGTTGATACGAATCTTTTATTCGTCAATTATTACCACCTAAAATTATTTCAGCTTTCTTAAAATAAAAACTGTCTTGCTTCTATGTTCTTTTTCTATCTACCAATGAATTGGTCTGCTTTGTTTAAGAAAGGATGGATTTTATGTTTTCAAACTGTTTCTTTTCCTCAGCAGTTCTAGAGAGAATTCTGGAGCAACCTGAAATCGTCATAGTGCTTTAGCAAGAATAATATGAATGCCTGAAAAAGTGTCTAGTATTTTAATGTTATGGCTACTCTATACTATCACCTGCTCCCCCCTCCCCCCCCCCCACTTTTACCTTCTTGCTTTGCTAAACATGCAATCTAATGATTTTGTGACCTGTGTGTGGGTTCCATAAAGATATTCCTCTAATATGGATTTTTTAATGTCCCAAAATTGAATTCTAAATTGTCAGTACAAGAGAATTATGCACTGGGTTTATTCAAATTACATCCCATTGTTCTGATGTACATTTTCAGAGTTAAATAAACTAAACGAGGTCCTTATTTTCACACCATGAAGTAAACACAAAGGCAAATAATCTGACTACTTAGACAAAATTAAACATCTTATTACCTCTTGTTCAGATGGATTTATGGATTGAATACAAAAGTCAAATCCCATAATTTTCCATGCGCCACTTTTATTTAAAATGATGTTTTCTGGAGAGAGGTTGCCATGGATCATTTTCACACTGCTATGTAGAAATGATAAGCCTTCAGAAACCTGTTAGAAAAGAGTGTCCTTGTCAGGGGCTTTGTTTCCTACCCTTATAAAGCCACGCTATATGAGCAATGTCAGGTTTTCCTCCTTGAACTGAAGCCCAAACTACTGATACTATGGTCAAGAAGGGAAGTGGGGGTCATTCAATTCCAGATCAAGGACAATCCTTTCCCAGCCTTTTTTTTCTTTAGTGCCAGCAGCACCATGATTTCTGCTGAGGGAAAAAACTTGCAAAAGCTTCCAAAAAGCCTGCAGAAATAGCAGCTGCCATATAAATATTTGATTCTGTGCCAATACAACAGCTTATTTTGTGTGTAAATTCACACATTCACACAACCTAGAGATTCAAAACATCCAGGGCTGTCATGGGTGAGCATACAGTTTTAGTGTATACTGTTCAATCACTTAAGATGAAAAAGAAAATAGTTAAACAATGTTCCAAAAGAGGGAGCTATCCTGCTCCAAACAACCTAGAAAACAAATCTGGTGTACATTGTCCATTTGTTTTTCTGGAAAGAATACATTCAGAAAAGGGAGCTGCCCATTTTTGTGCAACATGACAAACCAGTTTTACTCCATACTCTGCTCCCCCACAGCAAGTGAGTATGATTGGAAGCATGCAGCAGTACACAACAGAAAGTGAACAGCCACTGTTCTTGCGAAATATACAGAAAAATAAAAAGTAGGAAATAAAAAATATGTCTGCTAGACAACCAATGAATTAAAAATCTCAAACCAATCTATGTTCTAAGCAAATAACAGGCCAAGGATTATTGGCGTTTTCATTCAAACAAATCTTAGGTTAGAGTGCCTCATTTATGGAGGTCAACACTCAGGGTTGGCAGCTATGATATAAAAATAGAGAACAGGGTTATAGAAATGCAAGAACCACTTATACAAATATTTTCATTCATGTAACTCTGGCCATGCCAAAGGTGCCAAATGCACGCATGTGCTTAAAGGTAAGATGTTGTGGTACATGTATGATACCAAATGCATTATGCTTGCCTGCACATAGCATTATTAAGGAAGCATATACAAGTGCTGAATACATACTTGAAGCAAACCATATTTGGTTTCCACATCATAGAGCTTATATTCTCTGATATCAGATGGTAAAGGTGATGGAAGATTGTCCCAGTTGCCAAGAACATTGGATAAACTTGCAAAAACTGGTTCTGTGCAAAATGCCAAACAGTCCCTAGAATAAGAAAAAAAAGAAGTGAGCCTATTGGACAGATATTTACAATATGGACAGTTGTAGTCCAGTGCTTCTTTTTGAAGAATGCTCAAATATCGACTTGGGGTGGTGGGGAGCAAGTGATGCTTTACATTTGGTGTATGTGCGCTTGCATGCATGTATGTTTAGCTGAAAGCCTCTACCTCAGTGGTTCTCAACCTGTGGGTCCCCAAGTGTGTTGGCCTACAACTCTCAGAAATCCCAGTCACTTACCAGCTGTTAGAATTTCTGGGAGCTGAAGGCCAAAACATCTGGGGACCCACAGGTTGAGAACCACTAAGTCATCTTCTGTGAAATAGGCAAATATAGTATGTCCCCAAAAATGTATGCACCCTTGAAAAGCCAATAATGACTATATGGTGATTATTTGTAGGCTAAATAAAGAATTTGTATGTTGAAAAATAAGTGCTATAGTAATGATTTAATCAGTTACAAATTCCATCCGAAATTAGACTTTTATACAAGTCGTTGAAATTGTCATCCCTGCGCTATGATACGCTGCACTTAAAAAAGAAAGCAAAATAACAATAAATACAGAATTATAAGCTGTTATGGGTGTATACATTTTGAGGGGACACCCTATATATGGTATGGCATCTAAAGTTCATACCCAAGATGTACATTATGTTCAGTTTCTTTGTATTCCATGACATAGACCACTGTAGGGACACTTTCTTATTCGATAAGTCTAAACTTCAGGTTTCCAGCATCAGTAATAATCAGTATCAGTAATAGTTTCCATATGTGAACACACACCACAACAGTAAGAGAATCATATTCTTAAAATTAATATTAGGAAGATAAAATACTTGATAGATTCAGAATATAGACATACTGTTAAGTTGGCTTTTAGAAAAATATTTTAAAGAAGCAGATCATTTCAATTAATTTGCTTCAAATCTGCTACTCTTTTATCTTGCTTGCTATGATGCTTGAGATCAGAAATATTTTTGGTTTTTTTTTTCATTTTTGAAAACTAAACTATACATGAGATATATTGCAGATGGTATTCCAGTCTATACACAAAATTAATTTATGTTTCCCCTTATATGCATAGCTTGAAGGTACTTTGTGCACAATATTTGTAAAATTTTTATACATAAAACAAAGCTTTTGTACACTGAACTACAAGGAAGTAAATGTGTCATTATCTTAGCAACCCATGTGATCAATTTTGGAGCATTTCAGATTTCTAGAAAACAGATATTAAACCTGTACTCTAAGTTTATGTACTTTAGCTTTTCTAAATTAATAAACTGAATGTCCCAATATTTTGTGACTATTAATTATATAATAAACTTAAGCCCTAATTAAATAACAGAGAAACTTACCGAGATTCTTCTAATGGATGCTGCACAGTTAGCAGCCGGGGATGTCGAAGTCTTGTTAGCTGTTGAACCCCTCGTTTTAAGGAATCAATAATTTGATCCTTCTCAAATTTCTGATACTTGTCTATGAGCTTTTTATCAAAAACAAAAACTGCAACTTCCTAAGAGTAAAACATGGAAACATAACTACTGAATAGAGAAGAACCAAAAACAACAAAATTACAGAACCACTGATATATTTGTTTTCCCCAAGAAACTAAGAACAAATAGCAATCTTCATAATGACTTGAATTATTTACAAGTCAGCCAATATTACCTGCACATACATTGTTAGATATATCAATTGTGTTTTCTTAAACTATGTTATAAGAAGTCATGTACAAGTGTCAAGCCAGCACATTTATCTCCAAATTTCCTCCACTTTTGTATCTGCTTTGTCTGTTCAGCCCATTTCTTACATTTACAGTAAGAAATTCTGGTTTAATGTCAGTATACTAATTAGAATAAAACCATGGTTTAACATTCAATCAAAATATGCCCATACCATTAGACTTTAACTGACGGAAAGGCTTGTAATGGTGTATTGTACTATTTTGTCTTTGGTATACGAATTTTCAATGAATTGTAATGGTTTGAACTTTATAAAATATTTAATTATATTAAATAATGTTTTATATTTATACATGATGCCAATTTTTGTATAATTTTACTTTGGATTGTTTAGTACGAATCCTTTAAAGATGGGATATAAATGAACAAATAATAATAAAAAGTGAGGTTTCTTTCCCTATCTCATGCTATACCAACGAAATCAAAATGTTCTTCAACATAATAAAAAAAACGTGTCAGAATATTAGTCTCATACTAATGTATGTAATATGTAGTCTTCATCTAAGGGGTTCAGTTTTACTAACAATCTCAAAATTCTGCACAAGTTTATTAAAGATGTGAAATTTACTTCTACAAATTGTTAAGTGAAATGGAATCATATTTATTTTCATTCCTTTTTAATCATAGTCAGCTGAAGTAAATGGGCTAACTATACAGGATCAACAGTGAAGTCAGTTCAGTGGATCTTTAGAATTAGAGTATGTCAATAATAATTTTAAAATACCTTGTACATTAGGATTGCTATTAGGATTCAAAGGTTAATTGTACTCTCTCATCACTTAAACAAACTCTACATAGACAATTACAAATGAAATTGATCAAAATTATTTCAAGTGACCATCTTCATGTCCCTTCATTGTTTACTCTGCACTTTATCCACCAGCCCTATCCTCACAATTTTTGCACCATTTTGCACAATTCTGTTCCGCCCTCCCGTAAACAGAAACTGATTATTATTGTTCATTGGTTGGTTCAATGTTTGCTTTTATATTTTGTTATATTGTTTTATTTTGTTTTATGCTGTTGTTGTGTATTTTAATATGTTATCTTTTAACTATGTTGATCAGGCTTGTCCCCATGTAAGCTGCCCTGAGTACCTTTGGGGAGATGGAGGTGGCATACAAAAATAAAGTTATTAATATTATTACTAAGTATAATAACTTTTCCAATAATAAAATATAATTCATTATTTCTTGTTTAGTTATGGGAAGATCCATTCTTTCCACATTTTAATTAATAATGATTTACTACAGAAAGGCCACATCTTTATTAAAAAGTCACAAGATTTGCTAGCAACTTTTTCTGAAAATATCATTGAGATATCAAACACACCAAAACTATAGCACAGACTGCTACTGTTACTTATTGGCAGCCAGCTGGTCCTCTTGTGTCTAAGCTAACCCCATGAAAAGCTTTCAAAATATTTTGTCTTTGTTGTCAGACAAGTGTTTCAGAGATAGGGTGGTTTTTAATACTGTTTTTATTACAGATGATCACACAAAGGTATCATACTCAAGAGTTTATGATCAATTGACAGCATATGGTAGTCAAAATGAAACATTACTACTGAAGTATTGAACAGACAACTCTCAGGACATCTCTGAAGTTCTGCAACCAGACACCAAGGACACTGCCTTTCCCTGAAGATACATACACACCTTATTAACGCATGGAAAGCCCCAATCAATATATGATAAAGCAAGGATTGCACAATTTATTTGTCCTACAGATAGGTTAAGAGCTATCATCTCTTGGAACATCTCTCTGATATAACTCCAAGGCAGATCAAAATGCACTTAAATCATATTCTTATACTTCTGAAAATGTAAACCCCAAATCAGACAAAAGCATTCACTGACATAAATATAAAATGATACCTATTAAAAGCTTTGCAAAATAAACATATCTATATTGCCTGCATGAGGTCACAAAGAGTCGGAGACGACTGAACAAATGAACAACAACAACAAAACTATAAACAATGGATGTTTTGTATAACTTGCCAATTTTATCACTAGCACCACCTTCCTTCATTATAAAATACATGCAGGTTCACAATACTGAATGTAACTAATTGACTGGTAGATTTATTTGGGAGGTGATGGATCCCTGGTTATCCAGAAATTTATGGGCAACAACTAGCACCTTAAATTAGATCTGGGAACAAACAGGAAACCAGAAGATATAATATGATCTGAAAAGTAGATATGAAACATTTATTTGCTCCCTGCATTTTGGGTCATCTGAAACTTCTGAATAGAATTCAAGGGCAGTCTCACATGGTTTATTGGAGATAATTAACACATGTAGTTATGGCTAGATATTACCCTACCTTATGTATGAACAAACACATGCAATTCCCTACACAAGAAACAGAATCATTAGAAGCACACTACATGAAGTCTGAAGGTCTGTAACATGTCTTGTTCTTCAAATCCCAGGAATCCCAGACAAATTTATTATCTTACTCTATTTATTATTATTTTATTATATCATTGTTATTATTACATTTCCATTAATTTACCCTATTATTATTATTATTATTATTATTATTTCTATTACTTATATTATTTTACTTTATTATTACTTTTATTATTACATTTCCATTATTTTACTCTACTATTATTATTACTGCATTTATTATTTTACTTGATTACTTTACAGCCTGGACTATGATTGTTGGATTGTGTGATTTTAATGTTTATATATATATATTTATATGTCTTTATTTCCATGTTTTAATGTTAAATGATGTTGTGCTTTATGATTTAATTGATAATTGTATGTTATTATCGTTACGTTATGTGAGGCATTAAATTTTGCCATAATTATGTTGGAAACTACTTTGAGTCCCCCGCTGGAGTGAGAAAAACAGTATGCAAGTGAAGTAAGTAAGTAATTAAATAAACTCTTCCAGAATTGGATTATGTGGTGTCATAGTTCAATAGAAAAGGCACACATAAATCTAGGCCCAGTCCCTTTCTATCAGAGAGGAAAGCTGGAATGAGATCAATCATGGAAGGGCAGTGGAACAGCCAGAGTAAATATTTAACAATTGACTAGTTTCAACTGGGTAATATCTGACCTACCCTAGTTACAGGAAACATTTGTTGGACCCAGATACCTTTCTCCCTTTCAATCATACAAATATTAGACATTTCTCAACAATGTATTATGCTGAAATGCAGATAGATATGTCGATGCAGTTGATGCAGATTGGGGTGTCTAAATATGTTAAGGAAAGGAATCTTTGAAACTCACAACATACATTCATTTTTATTTATTTATTTTATTGCTGCTGACTTTTTTATCTACCTTTCTATTTAAAAATAACAAACAAGTCAACTATTAGTCATTAAAATGATCCAAATATATCAATAAAGAACTCATTATTTTATACAAACAATGGGCTTACTCTAGAATGAAATGCATTACATAACTTACAAACATCAAACAACATGAAAACATTCTTTCAAACAATGCAATCACACAAAAATCTAGGGAGGATACAATGAATTTACTTGCATTTTGGAATACTTTCTGAAGTAACTAATATGAACAAAAGATGGTCAAAATATTCACTTTCTCATAATCTATTAAGACTCAAACTCATTTTTAAGAACTCCTCTTGAGCACATATAAGTATCATTTGGACATTATTTCAAGGTTGTTGAAATACACATTGCCTTCTGTAAACCTCACCTGTTTTGTTGACTTTTTGGTGCCATTAAAAATTTTCCAAGCAAGCCCGTTGCCACCACTAGCAATGTGCCGTCCAACATCAAATTCCCGAGTGACTGGATTTCCCATGACTGCACTAGTAACATCTGCAGTCACTTTGGTGACAGTGCTCTTCAGTTTGTTAAGCATGGACTCCATTGCTATGACTGTATTCTAGTATGTTTCCTACAAGTAAAAAAATTCTCAAAATGTTGCAAAACAAAAAGAACCCTCCAAAAACTAAACAGTATCTGCATCACCTGCTTAAGAAAATTATACTTTTCCAGAAAGCATATAATCTCAATTCTTTTTCAAATGAAAATGTGCAGACTCAAATAAAAGAATAAGATTTTTTCAAATTAGTTTTATCATTACTGAAGCCCTCAGTATGAGACATAAATATTCAAGGTTTTTTTTTAACTTTTCATAGGCATACTTAACACTTACTCTTAGAATTTAGGTGCTAAAGGCACCAGCTGTTCATATCAGGAAAAAAACTGTCTTAGAAAAAGGACAAACGAGCCAACAATCCACATGACTAAGCAGTCTAGATTAAGATATCAGTTGGCAGTCTACCCTTTCCAAAGGAATAAACATTCTCTTGATTGTGAAAGAGATGTAGGGTGTTCAGGAACTGAATGATTCGAGCTTGACAAATTGAATTTATTATTGTTTGTGATACATTCATTTAAATGATGAATTACAGTATTTTGTTGGCATGGCCTATATAATTTTGTAGCTGAATACACAAACATTTAATTGAGTAAAAAAAAACCAGATTAAATACTAAAATGTATTTCCAGATTACTTATAAAGAGGATTTGATCCAAACTCCTACAAACAAAAGAGCTCCTTTCAACTGTCTAATCTAATGCATACGATCCAGTGAAGTAAAAATACTTTTTCTATCCATTTTTACTTCCCTGTCTCTCTTAAAAACTATCCTGGAAGACTGTGGAATTATTTGGAACAACAGAGAGGTTGAACTAAAGGAATTGGTGGTGAATATTCTTTCTGATGGTAGAAGAATTGAATGACACTCTACTTAGAATTTTGCAAAAAGTCAACATTGGATAAAATGCATATTTTAATCAATTGCTCATTCTAAATAAATCAGTGGATCAAAGACTAATTTAATTTTTGAGATGTTACACAGGTATCACACAGTATACCTCTACATATAGCCAGAACTCTTTCCTGTTGCAGTTATCATGCATAATAAGGAACATACTTTGAGTGAAATTAGAGTGCCACATTTCAAAATTCAGGTACAAGTTCATACACTTGATTTTCTGACACCTGCTACTACAGGTATAGAGATGAAAAATTAAGTATAACAGAAATGAAACCGAAAATTAGAAGCAGAGCTATAAAATATGTTCTAAAGCCAAATACATATAACTTTGTCAGATAATCACAAAAGTGAAAAGAGATCCCAACCATAACCAAGCAAGTATCTGCAGGTAAGTCATATATGCCAGGCGACCACCTAACCTCAATTAGAAAGCCTCCAATGAAGGAATCTATACCACCCTTTGAGACAATTTGTTTCACCATCAGACAGCTTAGAAAGCTCTTCCTAATATTTAGTAAGAAACTCTTTCCTAACAATTTAAATTAATTGCTTTCAGTCCTGTCCTATGAAGCAGCAGAGAAACGATATGCCATCTTCCACATGACTACACTAATTGAAAGATGGCCATTGTATCACCTCTGAATCTTCTCCAGGCCAAACACACTCAACTCCTTCATAAGGCTTGGTTTCCACACTAATGTGGTTGCAATCCTCTGGACACATTCCAACTTGCTGATGTCATTTTGAAAGTGTGGTGTTAACATGCTCACTCTCTCTTTGTCTGGACTTTACTTTCCCTTCTATTTACTGTGTTTATGTGAATGAAAGTGCAAAAGAGGGCTAGATGAGGCCAATGGTATCAAAGAATAAATGAGGCAAAGGGCATCAAGAGGTTAGAGAGAAAAAGAGAAATAACTATGCCATTCAGTTCTACAAACATGGCCTACCTTTGGATGTTGATAGACTCAACAGACTTTTTCTTGGAGGTTAATGGTCCCCACAGGGAGAACAATGCCCCACTCCCAGTTTGAGGCATGTATCTTTTAATTAATTCCATTATAAAAATGTATGGTTACTGAAGCAATTCAGAGGCCAAAGGGAACGGACAGAGCTTGCAAAAGCAGTGGGCCTCAGTGTTTGCTGGGTTTGCTTCCAGACCAACACACACAAATCTGAGAATGTTCAAGTCCCATTATATACAATGGGATAGTACAATGGAGTTTCATTTGAACAATGTTCACTTGGCAACATAAAATTTAGCTCCAGCCAAGGACAATTCTTAGAAACCCATTGAACAACTTAAATGAGTGCCAGAGAGAGCCTCTGTGAAAGACTGAAGCCTGTAGCAGGGTGTACCTAAATATCAGCATAGCACTCTGTGTACAGCAAGCCATAGTTGGCTAAATTCATGGGTGCAGAACACACAAATATGGAAAGCGTTCACTTGACAACACAGGCTTCAGTTCCAGTCAAGGAGAAGTCTTAGGAACTTCACTTTGAACTGTAGTACTAGCAACTTTTTGTGTATTAGACTATGAAATAAAAGTGTTTCCATTTCACAGCTTATTGTTTCATGTTGTAAGGAAACAGTATCTAGATTAGAAAGGTATTAAAATGTCATTAAATCTAAAGAGAGAACACTTTTTTGTTCTCTACACAGTAATAATCTTCTAGAAACCACATTCTTTAAACAAGAGATTTCCTTTAGAAGAGGTGTCTGATTGTGCAAGCAACAGCTTTACTGGGTGCTGCTAAAAGCAGTTAGAAAATACACACATAATATGAATACAGATGCCATTTTTATGACCCAATTGATTGTTTCTGTTAATCACATGAGCCACGTGTGTGCTCCCACATGCACAGACCTTTAAACACGTTTCATGGTAAATGCGTGTGATGCATTAGATTATGCTTATTTAAGTTTTAATTTTTGGTTATTTTTTTTTTGTTTCGTTCATAGGTTTAGATCAACATTGTCTTATTTATTGTTTTTGATTTGATTTGTTGTTTGTCTGTTGGTGGCATTGAATGTTGTCGAAGGCTTTCATGGCTGGAATCACTGGGTTGCTGTGAGTTTTCCGGACTGTATGGCCATGTTCCAAAAGCATTCTCTCCTGATGTTTTGCCCACATCTAGGGCAGGCATCCTCAGAGGTTGTGAGGTCTGTTGGAAAACAGGCAAGTGAGGTTTATATATCTGTGGAATGTCCAGGGTGGAAGAAAGAACTCTTGTCTGCTTAAGGCAAGTGTGAATGTTGCAACTGGCCACCTTGATTAGCACTGAATGGCCTTGCAGCTCAAAAGCCTGGCTGCTTCCTGCCTGGGGATCATTTGTTGGGAGGTGTTAGCTGGCCCTGACTGATTCTTGACTGGATTTCCCCTGCTTTTTGAGTGTTGCTCTTTATTTACTGTCCTGATTTTAGAGGGTTTTTTTAAAAATACTGGTAGCCAGATTTTGTTCGTTTTCATAATTTCCTCCTTTCAGATTACATTGACCATATGCATGTGGAGACTATGATGCAGAACAATGGCCTCAAACTACAGGAAAGTAGATTCCACCGGAACATTTGGAAGAACTTCCTAACTGCAAGAGCTGTTCAGCAGTGGAACTCTGTCTCCCAGAGTGCGGCGGAGGCTTTTAAAGAGAGGTTGGATGGCCATCTGTCAGGGGTGCTTTGAATGAGATTTTCAGGCTTCTAGGAAGGGGGTTGGGCTGGATGGCCCACGAGGTCTTTACTAACTCTAGGATTCTATTATTTCAATGGCTTCTCAGTGTAGACTGACATGGTGGTTGTTAGAATGGTCCAGCTGTGTCCAGGTTGGTTCATCAGGTGCTCTGCTATGGCTGACTTCTCAGGTTGAATTAGTCTGTAGTGCCTTTTGTGTTTCTTTATTCATGTTCGGGTGCTATGTTTGGATTCCCCCAGGCAGGAAGCAGCCAGGCTTTGAAGCTGAAAGGCCATTAAATGCTAATCAAGTTGGCCAATTGCAACATCCACCCTGGACATTCCACAGATATATAAGCCTTACTTGCCTAATTTCCAACAGACCCCTCAACCTCTGAGGATGCTTGCCATAGATGTGAGTGAAATGTCAGGAGAGAATGCTTGTGGAACATGGCCATACAGTCTGGAAAACTCACAGCAACACTGTGGCATTGATTTTTGCCATTTTGTTACTTGCTGGAAACTGCCTTGAGTCCCCTCGGGGAGATGTGCTGGGTTACAAATAAAGTACTATTATTATTATTATTATTATATTTAAGAATGACCCTGACTTCAGTTTACACAGAAGAACATGACATTTACCAACCTATTCATCACTAAAAAACATAATCCAACTGAGGAAGGGGACAGCATGTTTTCTGCTGCTCTGGAGACTAGAGCAAGGAGCAAAGGATTCAAATTGCAGGAAAAGAGATTCCACGTAAGTATTAGAAAGAACTTCCTGACAATGTACAGCAAGAGAATATGCTACTTTGGAGTCTCCTTCTCTGGAGGGTTTTATGCAGAGGCTGGATGGCCATCAGTCGGGGGTGCTTTGGTTGTGTTTCCCTGGGGTTCGGCTGGATGGCCTTGGGATCTCTTCCCACTCGATGAGTTCCTGTTCCCACCTTCCTAAAAACCAGTGTTCAGCAGGGGAATATGCTTACTTGGAGTCTCCTTCTCAGGAGGGTTTTATGCAGAGGTTGGATGGCCATCGGTCGGGGGTGCTTTGATTGTGTTTCCCTGGGGGTTGGGCTGGATGGCCCTGGGATCCCTTTCCCAGTCGATGACTTCCAGTTCCCACCTTTCTAAAAACCAGTGTTCAGCAGGGGAAAGTGCTTCCTTGGAGTCTCCTTCTCTGGAGGGTTTTCTGTAGAGGCTGGATGGCCATCAGTCGGGGGTGCTTTGTGTTTCCCTGGCGGTTGGGCTGGATGGCTCTGGGATCCCTTCCCACTTGATGACTTCCTGTTCCGAAGTTTCTAAAGACCTCCTGACAGCTGACACTAGCCAGGCACCTGATCCCTTGGCGTGAATCATCCCAACAACAAGGAAGGTGTTCCTGACGCTAAAGCAACTCCACACCCACCCAGGAGCCTTTGAGATTTGTGAAGGAAATGGAAGAGATCAAACACCACTGAAAGGATGGGAAACGTTTGGCATAGACTTCCCCTTCCGCCCTGCTCTCGCTGACAGCCCTTCCGGGACTGCACCCAGGAGCAGGCCCCGGCGGCCTTTCCAGGGAAGAGCCAGGCCTCTCCGGGCCAAGAGGCCACGCTCCGGCGCCCACAGCCCCGCGCCAGGCCTTGAGGGCTCACCTCCGCCTGAAGGGAAGGGGCCGGCCCCACACTCCGTCCGGTTCTGACGCCCACCACGGCGCGGCTACACCATGGCGGCGGCTGCGGCCTCCTCCTCCTCCTCCTCCGCGAATCCCCAACCGGACTGGTTTCCGCTTCTCTTCCTCTTTTTCTCCTCTCCGCCTCCGTCCCTGTGGCCGCTGAGGGAGAAAACAGGACGCGGCGCTCGGGGCCGGAAGTCGCGCCGGAGGAAGGAAGCCCCGCCCCCTCGCCGCGCGCCTCCAACGGCGGCTTCGGACCAGGCGCCAAGTTTGACGGACCGGGATGGAGTTGAAGAACAGTAGGACAGGCAGGGGCCAAGTTGGGCCTTCACTTCAGGTGTTTTGGGGCTCAACACAAACACATAGGGGGAGAAAGGAAACGGCCCCAGGCTGTGAGGAATGGTGGGAGTTGTAGTCCAAAACACCTGGAGGGAGGGCCCAAGTTGGCCCATGCCTCTTCTAGTGCCAGCAGTAACCATGTTGTTGTTGTTTATTCAGTCATTTCTGACTCTTCATGACCTCATGGACTAGTCCATGCCAGAGTTCCCTGTCAGCCGTCACCACCCCCAGCTCCTTCAAGGTCAATCCAGTCACTTCAAGGATCCCATCCATCCATCTTGCCCTTGGTCGGCCCCTCTTCCTTTTTCCTTCCATTTTCCCCAGCATCATACTCTTCTCTAAGCTTTCCTTTCTTCTCATGATGTGGCCAAAGTACTTCATCTTGACCTCTACTATCCTTCCCTCCAATGAGCAGTCAGGCTTTATTTCTTGAAGTATTTTATTTATTTATTTACGACATTTATATGCCGCCCTTCTCACCCTGAAGGGGACTCAGAGCGGCTTACAAGATATATAGTAAAGGTAAAGACAATTAGGAAGACAATTATGCTGGGGAAAGTAGAAGGAAAAAGGAAGAGGGGCCAACCAAGGGCAAGATGGATGGATGGCATCCTTGAAGTGAGTGGACTGACCTTGAAGGAGCTGGGAGTGGTGACGGCCGACAGGTAGCTCTGGCGTGGGCTGGTCCATGAGGTCATGAAGAGTCGGAGACAACTGAACGAATGAACAACAACAAAGGTAAAGGTTGTCCCCTGACATTAAGTCCAGTCATGTCTCTGGGGTGTGGTGCTCATCTCCATTTCTAAGCCAAAGAGCCGGTGTTGTCCATAGACACCTCCAAGGTTATGTGGCCGGCATGACTGCATGGAGCACCGTTACCTTCCCGCCGGAGCGGTACCTATTGATCTACTCACATTTGCATGTTTTTGAACTGCTAGGTTGCCAGAAGCTAGGGCTGACATCGGAAGCTCACGCCGCTCCCCGGAATCAAACCTGCGACCTTTTGGTCAACAAGCTCAGCAGCTCAACGCTTTAACCCACTGTGCCACCGGAGGCTCTCAAGATATATATACATACAATATATTATATTATGAGCATAATACAATATCAGTATTAAATATCACTATATTGTTTGTGTTGTTCATTCATTCAGTCGTTTCCGACTCTTCGAGACCTCATGGACCAGCCCACGCTAGATCTCCCTGTCGGACATCACCACCCCCACTGTTGGGAATCTGCCTGTGTTTGCGTTTCAGGATCCTGATGTGGGAAATGATGGGGCTGAGGTTCGGTCAATGATTTTTAGGTAGACAATGACAGAAAGGCCCCAGTGCAAAGGGCAGTTTCTCATGAGAATATTCCTGCTGGGTCTAGCAATGATGGTTCACTCCCTCTCTCTGTGAGCTCTCAAGATTTAGGTTTGGAAAACAATCTGACACCTGGGAATTTTAATGAGCAGCCAGAGCCAGATAGGGAGCTGAAGAATAGGCGGCTGGAGATTAGCCAGGACACGTCGCTCTGAAAGGCTTTGTCTGATAAGGGGTAAAAGTGGGGGGAAAGCGAAACCAATTTCTGATTTTTGGGATATAAGGTTTGCCTCAAGGGGAAACCTGTTAGATCAGGCATTGTTTGGAAATCAAGTTCATGTGCCAAGGAAATCCTGTTCAAGGGGTCTTGTTCCTGTGGAGTTTGGATTGTCTGCATCTTGTTGATTCCTGTCTGGATAAATGCTGTTTTGGATTGCTTTTATATCTGGTGTGGACATTGCTTTGAGTTACTACCTTTTATGGACTTATTACTTTTTGGAACTTTCTTATTTTCTTACAAGCATTTATTTCATCTGGCTATTTACTAAACTTCAATAAAAGATTTGTTTCTTCACTTTTCGTGTGGTGTGTTTTAAAGTCAGAGGGCTTTTTCCTGACCTGGAGTGCAACAGCCAGCTGCTTCAAGGTCAATCCAGTCACTTCAAGGATGCCATCCATCCATCTTGCCCTTGGTTGGCCCCTCTTCCATTTTCCTTCCATTTTCCCCAACATCTTTTCCTTCTCTAAGCTTTCTTTTCTTCTCATGATGTGGCCAAAGTACTTCATCTTGGCCTCTACTATCCTTCCCTCCAATGAGCAGTCGGGCTTTATTTCCTGAAGTATGGACTGGTTGGATCTTCTGGCGGTCCAAGGCACTACTATATTATACTATATCATTATATTGTAATATTAGTAATATTACAAGTAATATAAATAATTATAATATCATTATATTCATATTATATTGCATTACATTATAATACTATAAATATTATATGTATATACAATATATTTTATTATTGGCATAGCACAGGAGACAAGATAGAACTGTCCCCTGCCCCCCCCCCCTTCACTGGCTCAGAGCGGCAGTTGGTGCTGGGGGAAGGGGTCCCCAACTGATGACATATACAGGAGGCAAGATGGAACTGTCTCCTGGCCCCCCATCTTCACTCTGGCCCAGTATGGACTGGTTGGATCTTCTCACGGTCCAAGGCACTCTCAGAATTTTCCTCCAGCACCACAGTTCAAAAATGTCTATCTTCCTTCACTCAGCCTTCCTTATGATCCGGCTCTCACATCCATAGGTTACTACGGGGAATACCATTACTTTGACTATGTGGATCTTCATTGCCAGTTGTCGGTGGTTCAAATCCAGGGAGTGGGATGAGCTCCTGCTGTTAGCTCCAGTTTTTGCTAACATAACAGTTCAAAAACATGCAAATGTGAGATCAATAGGTACCACTTTGGCAGGAAGGTAACAGCGCTCCATTCAGTCTTGCTGGACACATGACCTAGGCAGAGTGGGTAAAGGTGGTGGTTAATGCCTTCTTACAGGAAGGCCACATTCCAGCCAGCTTAAAACAAGCTGTAATAAAACCGCTGTCTGAAAAACCGTCACTGGACCCCCACTCAATTTGTCAACGTTCAGGCAGTTTCCAATCTCCCCTTCTTGGGCAAAGTCTTGGAACAGGTGGTTGTCTTGTAACTCCAGGTCTTCTTGGAAGGCACTGATTATCTAGGTCTGGCTTCAAGCTGGGACATGGTACTGAGACAACCTTGATTGCCTTAGTTCATGATTTATGCCAGGAACTGTACAGGGGGAGTGTGTCCCTGTTGGTTCTCCTGGACCTCTCAGCAGCCTTCAATACTGTTGACCATGGTATCATTCTGGATCACTTCGCAGGAATGGACCTTGGGGTACTATTTTACAGTGGTTCCAGGCCTTTCTAGAGGGCTGTTTTATGTTTTTATGAAATGTATTTTTAATTCTCTTAATTGTATATTATTAGTTATCAAATTGCTGCCTGGTTGTAAGCCGCCCTGAGTCACCTTCAAGTTTGAGAAAGGCTTAGAAATGGAGATGAGCACCACCTCCCCAGAGTCAGACACGAGACTAAATGTCAAGGGAAACCTTTACATTTACCTCCCTTTCCTCAGATCCTAATTGCTGTGGCTATAGTTGAGCTTATGAAAAAGAAGTCTCTTCTCCTGTCCCTCCATGAATGCAAACAGCTCCAGAGTAAAAAGTGAGTTATTTCTATATCTTGCATGGAAATATTTTTGCTAATTTTGCTTAATGTCATCTCATTCTGCTACCAAAATTGATAGACTTGTTAACCTTTTGTTTTCCACTTGATCACGTGCATCTAGTTGTGTGTATTATGGTGTTGTCTTTGAAAGATCTGTTAAGAGGGCTTTTGCCTTTGCCATCCTCTGAACCTGAAATACATAGTTTGAATTGCTTAAGGTCATCCAGTGTTTCTTGCTATGAGATAATGAGGCTTGCCCAAAGTTTCCATAGTTGAACAGGACTTTTGAGACCTAGTATCCAGAACTACGGCCCAATGCTCAACCTACTAGACTCACAATAATTGTCATTAGTTTTTAATTACCTAACTTGATCTCTGACAGACTGCAAATCTGGAGGACATCTTAAGTAAGAGATCCATCTTTCCACCCCAAAAATAAGAAGGCTTAAGTCCATATGTTCAGTCTTCTCACAAGATATTTGTTTTGCCCTATTCTGTTTTTTATTAATATAAAATAATTGTACAGTATAAAATGCATGACATCAATATATAGTATCTACATTATCTGTAAGAATAAAATGCATGGTAGGCAGAACTATTCTGGAATGCATGTCTTCAACATGTAGACACCATAGGAAACATGAAAATCCTAAGAGCTCTACTTTGAATACAGAATAGCAAATCTCAGGAGCTTGTCTTAACATGAGAATGTTCTAGATGACTTCAAGTACCAAATGCATATGTAAAGGAGAAAGTAGTCTTTCAAGTAACAAGATGTTGTTTACATTTACATTTTTAATTGCTTTATTAAAAAAAGAAAGTCACTGAAATTATTTCAGTGGAGGTATTTTGTGTCGTTCTTAAGTTGCTCCAATCAGAAGCTTAAGCAAAATATTCTCTACCTGAAAAATACAGAGTATAGCAAAAGACATAGCAAAAGACAACAAGGGCAGCAGCCAACTGGTAAACTTCATCAGCCTCCCCAGAGCAAGGCAGCATGATTGGCACCTCTACTTAGTCATCTATTGCCTTCAACTCCCACAATTCCTAACAGTCAGTAGTCCAAAAACACCTGGAGGGCCTAAGCTTGTCTGTGCCTGTCTAGCCCCAATGACAGAGCTAGGGGCTGAACAAACTCTCAGAAAGAAAATAAGCGTGATCAAGTTGCCTGTCACATGGTAGTAGGAAACAACAGTGGCTAAGTGGGGTTTACTAATCGAAAGTGAAGAGGGGAAGTGAGGCACATTTGTGCCTATAGTTGTACAAGGAAACTATATTGTTCATGTTATACAAGATTTAAAAAGTCTATTCACAGCATAGTTTTCACATTTTCCCTAGATAGTAATAACTAGTTCTATGAAAATGAATAAATTAATGAGTTAAAAAATGAGTATGATATTACAAAACAAAATGTTCTGCTCATAAAATGGTTTTGGGACTATGAGTTGTAGAACCCATTTTAGCTTAGGAAAACTTGCTAGTTGAATGAACATACATAGTATGGTGTTAATGCATAACTGGTCCAATTAAATATCAAATTTTTCTTCACATATACAATGTCCATTTTCTTCATAGTCTTCTCTTGTTACAACCATATCTTCAAAATCATCATTTTCAGAAATCAACTTTCCACCTTCCCAGGAATAAGTAATAGGGCTGAAAATAAATAATAAGAGCCTTTAATCATATGATGCATCCCTCCTCCTGAATACTATTCAAACACCACAAATTTCAGGAAGGAAGGAAGGCAGGCAAGCTAGCAGGCCAACGAAAGGCAAGGTGCCCACAAAACGTGACTCACTATTTAAATGAAATTCATCCCCTGGGAATACTACAGGCAAGAAATGCAATATTTAGAAATGTAATGCTTCATATTTCTATGTAGGTTTTTTTTTAAAAAAAAAATCTAAACCAGTTGGGAGGCTTACATTTAAAATACGTACTGCACCCTATGAGGGAAAGATATGCCCTTTTAATGGCCAAGACCACAGGATACAACTAAACTGGGTGCCATTTAAGATACTGAAAAATGAAATAATGACAGGTATGTGAGAGACATTATTTGACAACCCAAAAGACTTTGTAACCAAACATATACTTACTTCTCTGGCAGAATAACAGAAACATCATAGTCTGTTGGAGTAAGGCACCGGACCTCAGAGTAAACACGATCCCTGAAGCCAGGCAATAGTGTGTTTCCTCCAGTCAAGACAATATTTTTGAAGAAATGAGGTTGCATTTCTGTGGAAAAGACCATATGTCAACGGAGTTGATATTTAGATTAAGCAACCAAACAATCCTAAGGGGAAAAGATGAAGCAGTGGATGATTTTTCAGTTCCAAAGCTCCGTCAGCCTGTGACAGCTCTGACAGATGAGGTCCAGCTCAAGGGACCTGATCATGAGGTCTTTTGGGAAATGAAATGACACAGTATACAAAGAATCAAAGGCTGTTTCTAACATACCCTGGAGCTATAGTTTTCCAGCTTCGGTTATTCATACGTTTCTGACTGCAGTTTCTAGTAAATTCAGCTAACATTGTCAATGCCCAGATATTTTGGGAGTTTAAGTCAAAATATCTGGAGGGCCAAAACAAAAACAAAAACAAAACAAACAAAAACAAAAAACCAGAGATCCACTGCCTCAGAGCTTTCTGTAGGCAACAGTAGGGACATCTGTGGCAAATGTGTCTCATGCTAGCAGCATCATTTCTAATCTAACCTAGTTCAGAAAATCATCCAAGGATGTTATTATTTTACTTTTAGCATGGAATAAAGGGCCAATATGACAGAGATATAAAGTTATAAATTTAACTAAAACAAATAATTTCTTCAACATTTAAGAACAGAGTGCTAAATTAAAAATGATATTCAGTAGTCCAGATATTGCAGTTAATTCTGGTAACTGTACAAGAGAAATATGAAAGAAAATAGTAGTTTTCCTTGTATAATGCATGTGTCATGTCATTTTAAGTAGATCATTACTTGGTATTTTTTGAAATCAGATTTGATCATATATTAAGGAATCAAACTGGAGTTTTGGAATACTTTTTGTGGTGGCGATGTAAATAATTTTGGGGGGAAAGTATTTAGAGAAATAGAAGATATAATGAACATTAAAATAGAAAGAAGTCCTAGTATAGCTTTATTATCATTATATAATAATAAACAATTGAAAAAAGAAGATAAATATGTGATAACAAATTTATTAACAATAGCAAGACTGCTTATAGCAAGGAACTGGAAAAGAGAATAAATACACAAACAGAGGAATAGTATAAGGAAGTATGGAAATTGGCAATAAATGATAAGCCGACATGTATATTACAAGTTAAAAGAGGTATATGGAAACAAAGTGATTTTGATGACGTATGGAGAAAATTTATTGAAAAAGCATTAAAAAATAAAGAAGGAAAGTTACCTCTACAAGAAGAATTGAAATTTTGGACAGACGATATGTAAAAGCTGTGGCTCGGGAGGGGGGAGGGGAGCACAGCAGTGAGGGAGAGATAATATGTATAAGCAGAAAAATAACACTAGATGCCAAAAGTTAAAGCATGGTAGGTTGTATTGAATAATATGTATCTGCTGTAAAACAAACAATGTATAACAAATGTATTGAATCATGATAAAATAATTTTAAAAATCATTTAAAAAGTTCATTTCAGAGAGAATGTGCTATGTTGGGTTGTATGATTTGACATCTAGTCAAAATTCTATATCTACAATGCTTTAACTGAACAACATCTAACTATATAACTATATAACAAGATAGTTATAGAAATAAACCTTTTTATCTTAATAAGCTAGCTTTGGAGTAAATTAGAATTTTATCACTATGCAACATATTCTTTAATGAGGCTTTTGGTAATACCATGTTTTAATAAAGCTACCTTCTGGCAAGTTCTGGATTGAAAATACTATGGCTTCAGGAATTCCCATTTCTTGAATACCAATATCTGAAGGATGAAACAGTATCTCTGGAACAGCAAATCGCTCATTTGTAAGACGAAGTATTTGTTCACCAGCTTTATATTTTCCACTTAATACCATTTCTTCCCTTGGCTATAAAAGGAAAAGTCAAAACTTATGAGATATTAAACACAATGCCAACTTCATTTTTTAAATTTTTGTATTGGTACTTTTTTTGTCTTCTCACGGAGCAGAGACTGGAATCACAGAGCTCTCCAGATGATGCTGAACTACATCTACCACTAATCTTTACTAACAGATATGAGGGGACGGGCCATTGAGAATTACAATTCAACAAAATCTAGATAGCTGGAGAACTCCCACTCCTGTCCTTAAGTATCTGGAATCCAAAGAACTGCACCATTAGCTTTGCATATCTAATGATACCATTTCTTGAGCAGAAGAATTCTTTGGGCAGAGAACATCCTTTTGGGGAGGGGGGTTACATCTTACTGAGCAATCAAGCTGACCAGCACAATGAAAAACAGCTCTTTAAATCTAGACCAGGATGATGTACCAAAACAGTATAGCAGTATATTGACTCTATACTGGAACAAATGCTTCATGGGACATTGTTAGAGTAGCATGTACCGAATTACTGTTTGTGGCCAATGTGTAAGAACTGAAAGCTGAGGCTGCAATTTTACACATGCCTACTAACCTAGAAATATCCCACTGAATTCAACAGGACTTATGATCTGATCAGTTCAGTGTGGTAATTCAATGCGTATCTTTCCTTTTCAAGCCACATTTTATTTCTTCTAGTGTCATAATAACTTGCATTTATCTTACTCTTGGAGGTACCAATAGAGAATCCGTGCACTGGAATTTATGTAAATATACTTGTGTATAAATGTAATATGAACAATTATCTTTGTTGTTTACATCTGAAGAATGCAAAATAAAACATTTTAAGGACATTAAGTGTTTTTACATTATTACCTTACAATAGCCTTTTTTGATTGTGCTGAAGTCTGGTAAAACATAGTCCATCATTACAGTATTTTCTTCTCCTTTCAATCTGGAACACATTATTGGAGTTCAACATATATTTTTCAAAATAGCAACTCTTCAAACCCCAAACCCAAATACTGTTATCCAATGTAACTTATCTAATGAAACTGTAAAATGATTTTAAATGCCATTGTCTTAGAATCTAATGAACTGCAAAGACTTCCAATATGAGGCTTAGATAAGCACTGGAGGGATGGAACAGTTGGTGTTTGGCATTACTACTATTTGCAATTCATATAATAATATAGAGTATTCATAACACATAGATGCTTCAAAAGCACAGAACTATTACAGGTATTTTAGTTTAATCCAATCACTGAGCAGAATTTCAGATTCAAGCCTTTTGAAAATCTTTATCCTTCTTTTGGTATATGAATGATGTTTTTATATGGCCAAAGATGGAAAACATTATAAATAAACTAAAATTGCAGTGTTTCTTTGTCATTAAACAAATTTCAGGCTACTCTTTGATGAAACAAGCCCGGAACAGTTTCACTTCCAGCAAAGTAATTTAGTACAATTATAAACCCGTATCAGCTTAACCTTTTTTTATTCCACCTCCCCCCACCCTTTCCAGGCAAGACTATATATTAGTGATAACCAAAGTGGCAATTCCTGGACTTATACTGATTCTCAGTCCAGTAGACTATTGTTTCCTGGATTTGCCAGGAAAGAAAGCAACTCTTGTAGTCAATGGACACAAGTATGGTAATGATTCCTGGCACACTGGAGTGGGAAAAAAAATCTCTGGGTTGTTGTAGGCTTTTTCGGGCTATATAGCCATGTTCTAGAGGCATTCTCTCCTGATGTTTCGCCTGCATCTATGGCAAGCATCCTCAGAGGTAGTGAGGTCCACCACCTCACTACATCAGGAGAGAATGAGGATGCTTGCCATAGATGCAGGCAAAACGTCAGGAGAGAATGCCTCTAGAACATGGCCATATAGCCCGAAAAAACCTACAACCCAGTGATTCTGGCCATGAAAGCCTTTGACAATACAAAAAAATCTCTGTTGGTCTTCCACATCTGACAACTTAGGAAGCAGATTTTCAAGATTAAGGTAACACTGAGCATGAAATGTACTTTGCATTTAAAAAAACAACAACCCAAAAACATACTTGGCAATTTCCATATCCTTGAAAAAGTCTTGTGAGACATAGCATACATCTTCCTTCACTTGATTAATCACATGGGTCTCATCCATTACATGCAGTTGCCTATAAAAATAGAATTTTCATTTTATCTTGTTACCAGTCTGTTAAATGAGTATTAAGATTTATTTAAGCTTATATGTTACAGTTCACTACTAAATTATGGAAAATCCCATTTAATCCTTTAATCCTCAGCAGTTATGCTAACTAAAGAACAGCAGAAAGAAAACCTGCTGTTTCTAACATTTTTTTCATTTCACTTCACAGTATGTTCTGATTTGGGGCAAATATGGCATTTCAGCCAAATTTCACACATTTCTGATGGAGCAAGGTCCTAACATTGCATTTATAGAATGGATTTAAGGAAAAGGAATGCATTAGAATTTAGAGTTTAGCTTCTGACATGAGGTTTGTATAATGACATTGCCAAGAATTCTAATATAATATGATTGAATTTTGAGGGCAGTTATCAAGAATAGCAATTTTTATAATCATGAGTGGGATGGGAGGCAAATGCCACACTGTTTCTAACCTATGACCAATTCCTGCTGATAATACCGCCAGTTATTGTTGCTGCCAACATTTGCTAAAAGCAAGGGAGCATTACAGTTTTAAATCGCTTTTTTTGTTCTTGAGAATAACGTTTAGCAAACATATATCATTTAGGCTCTCTTTGCCCATGCCATGCAATCTTCAATGTTGGAGTTGCAGAGGGTGGAAAATCCCAACCTATCTCAAAAGCTGTTGGAGATACAGTAGAGTCTCACTTATTCAACTTTCTGTATTATCCAACGCAGTGTGCTTTCCACCCGGATCCACAGCTGTTTCAACTCATTGTGATGTTTTGGTGCTAAATTCGTAAATACAATAATTACTACATAATATTATCGTGTGATGAACTGCTTTGTCTGTTGATTTGTTGTAAAATATGATTTTTTTGGTGCTTAATTTGTAAAATCATAACATAATTTGACGTTTAATAAGCTTTTCCTTAATCCCGTCTCATTATCCAACATTTTCACTTATCCAACATTCTACTGGCCCGTTTATGTTGGATAAGCGAGACTCTACTGTAGCAACTATCTCAAGCCTCCTCTATTTAATGTTTTGTCTGTTTATAATGTGTTGTGTATTTCCTGAAGTGTATGTCTTCTTTGGTTTGCAGTTTTCTTAGCGCTATGTACTTGAGGCAGTGGGAGGAGCTGCAGACCATGTAACTGGTTCAATGACTGTTTAGAATGAAGTTTAAAAGGATAGCAGTTGAGGAATGACAGTTGAGGCTTGATTCAGTTTGAGTACAGAAACCAGAGTAGGAAGTTAGAAGACTGTTAAGGTTTGCGTCCCTTGGAAGCAGACTGTTATGAAAGAGAGCTGTACAGAGCAATATAGTTTTGAAGAGACCGATAAAGACTGTAAGTTAAAGATACAAACTGAAACATTTTAAAGTTTAATCTGACAAGAAATGTGCCCGCATATTTAAATACATGAAGTTGCGAGTAAAACAAACATATTATTTTAAAGAAGTCTACTTGAATATTAGTCTACTGAGAACATCAAACAGAAACAAGGTGTTTATGTGCCAAGTGATAATCCATTACGCAATAAACTAAAGAAACACTTCTGAAACTCTGCTACCCAACAGATTATGATCCGAATAGGCCATAATCCATATCCTAATAAAAGTCTCAGAGGTGAGAGGAAAACTGGTTATTACTTGCACTTGCTAGGCAGATGAATGACATTTGCCATAATCTGCATTGTATAAATTCATTTTGCCACAATAAACATAGTGGAGAACTGTAGTAATTTCTAATTAGTTCTTTTACCTGTATGAGATTGTCTCCTTCAGGTGGTTCGTCAATAGTTTTCCTCCAACATTTATCCTGGAGACAAGATAAATCTTTTAAAATATTTGTGTATTGACAAAATATGACCACATATATTTTTGAAAAATAAATGTGTTACCTTATAATTGCTTCTTTCTTTTTTTTACTTCTGCAGTAAGGCACAATGTGAGTAAAAGAATACCCACTATCCACAATGATGCAACATAGTTCTGATGGATTATCTCGGAAGTATCTATGGGCACTAAGAGCCCCAGCTGAAAAACAATATAGCATGTGTTCATTTTATTCTCTTAGCCAACTTTATCATGATAGAAGTCATAAAAAGAAGACGAAACATAAAAAAACCCTTGCATTTATATAAAATTGACAGTTGTTGCTGAGTTTATTAACAGATGATAAGGGGCATTCAATAAAATTACAGTCTGCATATGTGTATATAAACATTTTAGTTTTGTACATGGATAATAGTTTTCACCCATCAACACGTGTATATAGGTTGCTGCTATGGTGCAATTAATTACATGTAACTCCAACAAGGGATTTTAGAGAATACAGGTATACTGTTGTTCAGGTATTATGGCTTTACTTGATTAACAAATGGTAAGAGATTATGGGCTCTCATGTAAATTTATGTTCCACAGTTCATGCAGACATACATATATTCATTCTATTTAGGTATACATTTGATCTGTAAATTGGGTTTGAATGGATCCTTGTTTGTTAGAGCAAATTAGGAATGAACACAGGTACAGATATTCTGAAAAATACTCAAGTATGTGTATACGCATGTTGTAAGCACATGTATAATGTACAGCGAGCACTTCTATAGTAAATATAAGTGCCCTACCAATAGTCAGGAGAAAGCAGTAATAAAAGACTTAACACTCACAATTTACTCTGAGAACTGCTTGAAATTGGTATTCCTCAAATAGTATTTCATTCATAGATTCTTGAATTGAACTGAAGTTGAAATAAGGTTCTGTGATTATGATGTTGGTATCAACAAAGTCTACCTGTGCAAGAAAAAGACTTCAGTGTTTAGCAGAAATGGTCCAGCTCTCCTTATTTTGGTAAAAGGAAGAGAAGACAGCTAAAGTAGATTGGCCTAGGAGTCACTAAGCAGGCAACCAAAATTGTCCCCGCATTATTTCTTTGCTTCAGAGCAAACAATAAGACCCTGCTTTGCTCAGCTGATACAGCCAAAATATTTAGCAATTCTCTTCTCACTGGAAGGTATAAGGATTATTATTGCCTCTTTGCCCTGCCTTCTGAAGAGAGGAGCTATCTCCTTATTTTATATTTCAGTACTTCCCTGCAGCATTAATGTACCGTACATGAGGCCAACACAGTCTCCTACTACAGTCTACCACTTAATGCTGTTAAAGCTCCACGAGCTAAACAACCCCAAACAAGCATGCCAATCTAGATGTATTTATGATTTAGAACATTGCCTTCGAAATACATCATTGTGATGGATTACAATAAAAGTTTTGAAATAGCATAAGCTAGTTAATATGAACTTACTGAAACAGATCACACTATATGCCCTTTGGAAGGACGGGTGTTTTTCATGCAAGACTCAGGAAAGCCATAAGTAGGCAAGAACTGGATGAGAAGGGTTAATTTCGTAATGGATTCAGGCGAATTGCAAACAGTGAACTCAAAATCTACAGACAAATACTGAACACTGAGCAAAAGGAAAAGACCTGATACCCATATTTTCATATCCCACAAAAATACATGCTCAATTTTATCTGATAATACTTCATCCTGAGTACAGGCAACCCCCAAGTTATGAACAAGATAGGTTCTGTAGGTTTGTTCTTAAGTTGAATTTTTAAGTCAGAACAGGTTCCTTTTTAAAGTGTAGCTTCAGCCAAATACACACACACACACACACACCCCTGTGGTAGTTTTTCTGTCTGTGCTGCAGTTCTTTCAGGAGTGATTTTCCCTTCCTAGGGTTAGATTTCTCTCAATTCCTGTTGTCTCTCCCCCCCCCCCCTTCTCCCTGCCTGTGTTTGTAACTATGAGTTGTATATAAGCTGGATGTTTGTAATTCAAGGACTACCTGCATTTGAAACACACCCAATAAGCACACTTTTAGAGAAGCTGCAGGGAAATAGTGAATGGCCTGATTCCTTCTAAGTAAAGCGGATTTATCAGCTTTTTCTACAAACATTAATTCAGACATTAAGTTGAATTCCTGCAATTTGGTAGATTACTATACTCCAAGACATTTTTTTAAAATTCATCTCTCAAAATATAAAGTGCTCTAATTACCTGATACATTTCTTTTCCAAAAAGATTGTCCCAGACCTGCCTCTGAACATCCCAGTTTACCAAATATCCCTGTTATTTAAAAGTGGAAATATAAATTACACATTTGATATTTATATAATTACACATTCTTTAATCTCTTCAAGACATTAGTAAGTCACAAGTCTTTTCAGAATGTTTTGATGAACATGAAACGACTTGCTCCCAGTAAATGAGTCAACTTATCCTCAAAGGACCCTGACATTCAAATCTCAGAGTGTGATGCTTCACAGTTTCAAATAAAATTGTAGGAACAGCTTTATGTGTATGTTAGAAGAATGAACTGGAGCAACGGTCCCATATATTTTAATAATCATTAGTTTTTATAGGAAATAAGTTAACTTCAAGCTAACTACAGGCCAAGTATAGCCCACAGAGATTTCCTATCTACTTGCTACTTTGCTAGATGTTATTTCCTGTCTGCAATCATAGTACTTAAAAGTATTTAAAAGGACTTAAGAAGCTTCCATAATACAATCTAGCACTTCAGCTGTATTGTGGATGACTCAATTCCATAACAATACATTTAAATATTGTAATTACTTATTACTTTCAGATATACATTTGCTGTTGAAAAAGAATAAATACAAATAAAAATCTGCCCAGTTCTCTTTTTCATCACCTACAACACAGTCCTATTGCATTAGTTCCACAGAGATGGCACCTATTTTTATGTACATATACTGCAGCCATAATTTATAATGATTGAGATTATAATTCAAAACAATAATTTCCCCATCTAAGTTGTAGTTGGCTTTATTTTGCAAAAACAAACCTCTCTCCACTATGAGGATTTCATTTATTTAATATTATTATATTGTTTATATTCTTCAATACTAACATTTAAAAAAATAAACCCATCAATGAAAACTTAAGTTGTATTTAAACCAGACCTCTAACGTCTGGGTGGAAATGCATCACACAAATGAAATTACCTTTTGAAAAGGAAGAATATAAAAAAGTCCAGATGGATCTTTAATTTCATCTAGTTGGTTAGCTGTGAATGTTTTCAAGCGAGCTGTCTTTGATCTGAACTGACAGTTGGGAATAACACTGTAAGATGGAGGGAAAACCATTAGCTTCTTAAATACAGACTTTAACAAACTGATAATTACAGATCAAGATGGGGGAATATATTTTAGAATCTTGTGTTTATTTATAAACTAGGTGAAATAACTATGACCCTCAATATGCTATTGCACTCAAACTCTGATCAACCCCATCTACTGAACTCAACTGTTATAAATGACAGGAGCTCTAATATTGCATCTGGAAAGTTATACCCTTGATGAATATGCTTTTAAAAATCTTTCAGCTCTGGCAACAAAATATAGTTATATCCTGTAGTTAGGAAGTGGAATTAAACTGATCAGCCTAACGCCCATTTGCCATGTAAAAGCTCAACAATAAACAGGGCTTTATTTATGCCATCTGAAAGGAAATACAGCTTGCTTTACCAATCCTTAGTATGAACAAGACACACTGAAGTCTGCCATTCACTTGCAAAATACATGTCAGTAAAAAAACAGAAGCACTTGTAAAAATAGATATAAAGTAAACATAACATTAGAGTAGACTATAATGTTCAAATTACCCTTGTAAAAGTATGCAAACAACAGAAAAGCCAATTACATCAAATTTTCAATTTTTGTACCACAGGAAAAAAACGTTCTGATGATACAACAGAATCCACAGTAGGAATAACAAAACACACAAAGCTTTTCAGATACCTGCCAATGATTGAAATCTAACACTTGCAGAATATAACCAACTGTAGGCTTTAGACAATGATGCTGGGGAAAATGGAAGGAAAGAGGAAGGAAAGAGGAAGAGGGGCCGAACAAAGGGCAAGATGGATGGATGGCATCCTTGAAGTGACTGGATTGACCTTGAAGGAGCTGGGGGTGGTGACGGCCGACAGGGAGCACTGGTGTGGGCTGGTCCATGAGGTCACGAAGAGTCGGAAACGACTGAACAAATGAACAACAACAACAACAGGTTGAAGCATAGGTCCAAGTTTTACAACAGTCTGAAATAAACAGCAGAAGCTGTTTCCTAGTTTATTATCTGAAATGCCCAGTTCCTTCTTTGAACTGTAGATCGTTCCTATACCCTTTTATATACAAGGATATCAGAGTGAATTCAATACAGTTTTCAATACAGATCAAGGGTCTAGAGAACAAGCCCTATGAGGAGCGACTTAAAGAGCTGGGCATGTTTAGCCTGAAGAAGAGATGGCTGAGAGGAGACATTATACCATGTATAAATATGTGAGGGGAAGTCATAGCAAGGAGGGAGCAAGCTCGTTTTCTACTACCCTGGAGACTAGGACGCAGAACAATGGCTTCAAACTACAGGAAAGGAGATTCCACCTGAACATTAGGTAGATTTTCCTAACTGTGAGAGCTGTTCAGCAGTGGAACTTTCTGCTGCAGAGTGTGGTGGAGGCTCCTTCTTTGGTGGCTTTTAAACAGAGTGGTGCCTCAAATGTGATTTTCCTGCTTCTTAGCAGGGGGTTGGACTGAATGGCCCCTTCCAACTCTATGATATGTAGCCCCCGGTGGCGCAGTGGGTTAAACCCCTGTGCCGACAGGACTGAAGACCGATAGGTCAAAGGTTCGAATTTGGGGAGAGGCGGATGAGCTCCCTCTACCAGCTCCAGCTCCTCATGCGGGGAAATGAGAGAAGGATGGTAAAACATCAAAATCATCTGGGCGTCCCCTGGGCAACATCCTTGCAAACGGCCAATTCTCTCACACCAGAAGTGACTTGCAGATTCGCAAGTCTCTCCTGACACGACCAAAAAAAAAACCCCTCTATGATTCCATTACTATTCCCGGAATGATGTAAATAGGACTATTATTTATAAAAATATTGTATAATATTATAATATTGTATGGGGGGGGGGAAGGTTGTGTTATTAGCCACTTTGGGTCTCTTTTTGGAGTGATAACGCAAAATAGAAATACAATAATATAACAATATGTAGAAAAGGGGAAATGTCCACAGTTTTGACACAGCTCTTGACAATGGCAAGATAAATATTTCCAAGTCAAAAGGATTTAGCGAGTGTAGGGTGAATCTACACTGTAGAACTGATGCAGTTTGACACCACTTTAACTGCCATGGCTCAATGCCATGGAATCCTGGGAATTGTAATTTGATGAGGCAGGAGCTCTCTGGGGCAGAGAAGGCCTGATAAAAGATACAGTTAGCATTGAGCCCTGGCAATGGAAGTGGCGTCAAGATGGATTAACTCTACAATGTAGATTAGCCATGGGCAAACTTGGGCCCTCCCTCCTGGTGTTTTGGACTCCAACTCCCACCATTCCTCACAGCCTCAGGCCCTTTCCTTTCCCCCCTCAGCCGCTTAAGCGATATTTGTCTTGACTGTTCTAATGTAGCACAAATCCTATGTAAAATCATACTACGTATTTTTGACATTAATATTGAAATCTGAAATATATACAGAAATTAAGCGGCTGAGGGGGAAAAGGAAAGGGCCTGAGGCTGTGAGGAATGGTGGGAGTTGGAGTCCAAAACACCAGGAGGGAGGGCCCAAGTTTGCCCAGGCCTAGTGTAGATGCACCCTAATAATTCCCTATTTGCTTCTCATTCCTTCCTTCCATCTTCCATTCAGGTCTCTCCAGCATCCTTGGGAGAAAGCAGGGCCCTCACCTGACGCGGTCGTGGCTGTACCCGATCTTGGCGTTGTAGGCGCCGTTATCGAGCACCAGCGTGACCATCTTCCCGCCCTCTTCCTCCTCCTCCTCCTCCTCGGCTTCCCCCTCGCGCCCGGCTCCCTCCGGCCCCGCCCCCGCCCGCGGAGGAGGCGTCCCCAGGCGGCAGGGAGGACCAGCCGACATCCCGCGCGGCCCGGACTCCGCTCCTAGGGCGGCTCTTCCGCCCAAGTGCTTGATGGGACATGGGAAAAGGAAAGAGACAGGCACATCGCGTTTCTTTTTTGGACTCCAACTCCCAGAAGCCTCGACCACGTTGGACAATGGTGAAGGATTGTGGGAAATGTAGTCAAAAACATTGAGACGCCGAGATCTCGCGAGCTTTACGCTTCCCGTGCGTCCGGCGTGAATATAGCTCTCTCTCTATATATATGATTCGGCCTGACTCAGCACTTCCGGTTTGCTCTGAAGGGATTTTTCCCGCCTTCTTCGTTGCTCTGGAAACTGGAGAAGAGGGGGTTATCTGTTTCCGGCCTCGCTTTCCATAAACAAAACGCTTGGCGAGTGCGAAAGTGTCGGAGATTTCTAACGGCGATTTCCTTCAGATCTTAAAACAAAACAACCCGTCTTTTAGAGATTCAAAAGAGCTGCCTCTAAATTAGGGGAACGCAAATCGACCCTTGAAGGCGTCGCCATAAATCGGCCAACGACATCAAGGCCCAAGGCCTAGAGACGCACAAACAAATCAACTGAGCGCAGGATTTGGGCCGACAGCAATTCTAAAGGCGCCATTTGAGGAAATTTATTGCGACTTCAGCGTGTTTTGGGTTTTGTAGTTGAGACGAAAGGCTCCAAATCTCTGTCTTCTCTTCGAAGCTAAGCATCCTTGATTAGTACTAGAATGAAAAGAGGCAAGTCTACTCCATTACCGACAGAAGGCCCTCAGCGCTCCGCAGATACGGTCTCCTCCTCTGATGGTGGACACCAAGAGGCCCAGCCAACCATGGAGCGTGCACATCTGGCAACTGATCCTCCTCTGGTGGCTGAGGCAGCCTCGGGTGTGGCTTCCGCCGATCGCAGGCGCCATAGGCCATCCCGCCCTCTGCCACCGACTCCTGGCTGCTCCAAGTCCAGAGGCCGTTCCCTGCGACGTTGCCCCAAGCGCCGAAGCTGTCGCCATGTATGCTCCTCCTCTTCGTCAAGCTCTCAGGAGTCTCGTTCTCGTACTCCGCAACGCAGAGAATGCAACCACTGTACGCATTCTGCACACCGTACCTCCTGCCATTTCCAGGATGCCGAAGAATGTCGAGGCCCTCCCTGTCACCGCTGCTCAGGATGCAACTGTGCCGTTGGTGGCCGAGGACACCGGGGTCGTAGACATCATTTTGAAAGGTCACCAGTCTCAAACACCTCTGCCCAGATACTTGGATCTCATTCTGCCGGAGACACTTCACAGCCTCAGGATGCTGATGGTGTGACATCTCAGGCCGCTGAACCTGCTGACGCATCAATACGCCCAACTTCACCACAACTGCAAGCTGCCCACAATCAATTTCAAAACACCAGTTCTGATGAGGACTCTTCGTCTTCTTCCTCCTCTTCAGATTCAAGTCGATCAGAATCCCCTAGCCCCTTCGTCACCAAACCTCCCCCTCTGTTGCCTATTTACAATGTTCGATCTTACAAGGATCAAATATTGCGCCTTACTAAAGCCTTAGGCCTTCAAATACAGCAACCTATAATGATCGATGACCCCATTTTCAAATACATTCAAGAACCACCACAAGCCATTCTGCCGTTCCTACCTTATCTTCTCCATGTTGTGAAGTCATCATGGTCAAACCCATCATCAGTTCCGCCCACCTCCCGTAGACTGGATAATCTTTACAAGATTGACGATAGCTCTCTGGGCTGGTTAGGTCAGCATCCCAAGCAAAACTCAATGATTGTTGGTATGGTGCACTCAGATTTTTCAGGCGAGGCCCGTTCTACCCCTTTTGATGAGGAGGGAAAGGAATTAGATTCCATAGGGCGCAAGATTTATTCATCTGCATCCTTGTTGCTTAAAATCTCCAATTATAGTGCGGGCATGGCGGCATACCAAAAATTTCTGTGGAACAAGGTTGCTCCATTTTTTGAGAAATTGCCAGAGGAAGACAGAAGGGCTTGCTCCGTCATCCAGCAGGAGGCCTGTGTTGTATCTGGATACCAACTCCAAGTTTCTAAACACATCGCCGACTCTGCTGGAAAAGTGATGGCTAATTCCATTGCCCTGCGTCGTCATGCATGGTTACGTACCTTGACTCTTCCACCATTTGCTCGGGCAACAGTTGAGGAGATGCCCTTTGACGGGACAGGTGTTTTTCATGCAGAGACTGATTCACGTTTACTGCATATTGATAAAATGCAAGCTGTTGTGAAGAAATTATCCAGGCCATCAGCCTCTAGATCCCAAAGGCGTCAGCGCATGGCACCTTATCGTGCCCAATCAAGCCACCCATCAGCCAGATCAAGACCTAGACCTCAATTCTAGCTACCAACTGGGAAGAGGTCTTCTTCCTCCAGTCACCAGCTACATACATTACCCACTGGGCACAGCAGTCGACTCCACTAAGCATAAAATTTGAAGATTTCATGGACAATACCCTATATGTCTCTCCCACTACGTCATTGACACCTGTCCAGGAATTCTGATTGGCTGGATTTTGGAGTCTCTTTTTTTAGGACAGGAATGTGAACACAACAGTTTGGCAACAGAAAGATAGGATTTGAGTGCTGTTTAGACTCTGCCTACTTGCTTTAAAATTTAAATACGTTAATTATCTTGTAATTCACCTGGTTGGTGATGGTTAATCTGTTTGCAGTTGTAGAATGATTGTTGCACTTGGTTTAATTGTTTCAGGCACTTCCGTAGAATGCAGGCTTTTGCAATCATATTTTGTAACCCAGAGCTGGAAACCTTTGAGCTTTCAAGAATTTCCTCATAAATCATCCTTCATGTTCCCTCATACCATTAGGAGTGAAACAGTCAGACCTCTATAGTTTTTCATGCTTTTCAGCTTATTTGACTGTAATTATTGGGTTCTTTAATTGTACACTAGAATGGCATACTACAATATAACTTTTCAAGTCAATTTCTGTGAGGTTTACATATTTTCTTCATCTGTTAGTTAGGTTCTATGTTGTTCTTGAAGATACTTATCTATGTTATAACAGAATAAAGCCTCACAGTGAAATTTAATTCAAGCTAAAATTAAGAAGGATTTAATGCAAGCTTGTATGTATTTTGAAAAAATAATATCTTATGAACGTTTTCATTGAATGCAAGTTTATGACATGTTTTGATCAATGTACGACATATGGCTGGAGATGGCAAGTGAAACACCATGCATTTGCAACAAGCACATGGGGAAATCACTATACAGCCTTGCTAATTGTCCCATGCTAATATAACCAAAGTAGTATTGTCTTGACTAAGGTCTAAATAAACACTATCCAAATTACTGATAAATTTCTTTTAGCTCTAAAAACTGAACAAGTTACCCTCTGAGGGTTTTGATGTGGGTTTCTTGGGAAAGAAATGTTCCACTGTCATTTTTGGCTTAAGATGTTTTATTGCCAAATAGAACTTAGCTTTCACACTCTTGAAAAAGTCTCAGCAACACCTTGCTACTTTTAACTATAGTGTAAAGGTTATTGTTGACAGAAAATACCAACATAACTGACAGAGGTGAACAAGTTTAATTTTTTATGAATATGCATATTACACATCAAGATAAAACCCTAGGATGGACTCACTGTAATAGAATAATTGAATGCACCAGTGGGACAGCCGAGAAATCAGAAAGAAAAGACATTTTATAAATACATATACAATTTGGAAACCTGGAGCTAAAAAAATTCTAAAAAGGCCTAAATGTAAAGTTCTTGGCTTGATATAAAAATATGCTAATGCATTTCTTCAAGTTGTTAGTCAATTTATTGTGTCGACTTTCTTGAGAAATACTCTGATAGATTAACTGAAAGCAATGCTTTCCTTTGGTATTTAGATGGAACACAAGCTGTTCACAAAAAAAAATCACAACTAATTGCCTATCATGGATTTTTTTTCTGTACTTGCTATTTTGAAAACTTAGAAACAACTAACCAGCTGCCTGTTGGAAATCTGCCATTAAAACTGCACTTTCTCAGTTTTCCCAGCAACTGATATACAGAGACATTGACTCAGATACTTAAGGTGATATAATAGCCATCTTCATTAGAACTTTTCTAATGCTCCTTACATTTCTTCAAGTTGTTGGCCCTTACTACAACTTCGGTTAGTTCACATCGTAACTCTGCACTGTGTGAAAAGATACACATATCTTTAAATGTTGTGCCCTTAAAACGTTAAACATTTATTAAAGTGAAAATTAGGAAATCTGATTCTCAAATATGTTTAAATTAAAGCCCAACTGACTCACTGATTCTATAGAATATCTTATATTGGGGCACAGAAGTGTATAGTTTTATTAGTCGTAGTACTCTACACATTTTGATGTATTGGTTGCTATACACTGTTTTTAAAATAAGTGAAATTTACAAGAATTCATTGAAAATCAGAAATCCTATTTGTATGAAATATTTTATGCAGTAGGAGAGCATGTTGAAAATGATCTTTCATCTTTTAAAATCTCTTATTATGGAGTTTCAGATATCTTTCCACTATCTAAGAGTGGAACTGGATCACAAGGCAATCTGGGATTAAACCAATCCTATTGATAGCTCTGTGTTTGCATCTTAATGACAACATAACTAATCCTTTCTTAAATAGGATAAATGTTACATAACACTTGAAGGTCAGTAAAACATTAGCAGTTCATTTTTCACTTCAGCTGACTAGGATTTCCTAGTAGAATATTAGGTATTATTATTAAATATAGGACCCAGAAGAAACCATGGTGTCAAAATTAAAAAGTAACCAAAACTTCGGACAGAACTTACCAGAATTTGAAGGCTTGTGCTGCTGGCTTTCTATTCTAAGAGGTCTTTAGCCCTACATTCCTCTGACTCCAGTTTTCTGAATAACATGGCAAATTGCTTTCAAAACTAGAGTCTTTACAAAGTAAAGAGATAGATGCCTTACCCTACTACAATTTAGTTAGCAGAGGGATCATACTGAACAAGCTCTAATTGCTAGATGGTTATATTGTAGTGCAATGGCTATAAATAGGCTATAAATAAGTACTACCTGCCAATCTGAAATAGGAAAAAATGATTTTACACTGTAGCATAAATGCTTTATGGATATGCAAAATGATTTTTCCTAATGTTTTTGAATAGTCCTCAACAGCAGACTATTAAAAATGTTAGGAGAAATAATTTTGCATATCCAAAAAGTATGATTTTTAGTGTTAGGTGCTTTGAATCTCCTTCGGGAGAGGAATAAAATATGTAATAATAACAACAACGATAATAATAATTGCATCCAGCCTGATCTTGCAGATCCAAAGGAAAAGTTTCATTCATTCAATTGTACTCTCAATTGTACTCCAAACAGGATGCGCTATTTGATCGTATAGACCAGAAGCATCACACTAATTTTTATCCAGGATCACATAGGTTTTATGGTTGCCTTCAAAGGGCCATTGAATCAATGGACAGAAAAATCTAGACATAAGGGCTGGTGCTCTTTTATTTTTAAAATATATATATTTTGTGAATAAGATAAAAAAAAATGAAAATAAAGAAAAAACAAGTATAATTGTTTTACTTGAAAAAATATTAAAAAAAAGTGGAAGAGAAAAAAAGAAGAATATAGACATATAAGAGTTTCTGTACTTCCAGTCTTTTTCTTTGCTTGGTATATTGTTCTCTCCTAAAATCTATGAATTTGTTTCTACTTTCTCCTTTCGTAACTATATCCTTAGACGTGTATTCAGTAGTTGTTCGCTAGTTATATAATATTTTTCTCCTTCTCCTTCATATAAGTCTTGAACAATTGCTAGTCCATCTTTTTCTTTGGTATTCCTTAATGTCTTGCTAGGAGTTGGGTCAGATCGTCCATATTCTTTGCATCCACTATTTTGATTTGGCATTGTTCTTTTGTGGGAATTTCTTCTGATTGTAATTGGGAAATTGCCTTCCCAAACTGTTTTGATACCACTGATCAAAGTATTATGGGAGGATGAAAGAGGACAGAGACAAGATGAAAGGATTAGAGGTGAGAAATGTTCCTGTAAAACCTATAAGAACCTTGTGAGAAACCCCATGCAGAGCAGTCACCCGCAGGTCTCTATTTGCCAATGAAGTCTGTGTATACCAATCTCCTCTGTGTAAACCAAGCCTCAGAGGCCACATTACTGCTGTACATTGTATTCCTAAAATGGTTCAGATCCTGCTTATCTTCGAGACCGTATCTCCCTTCATGAATTGGCGCAAGTGCTAAGCTCTGCCGGGGAGGCCCTTCTCTCGCTCCCACCTCCATCACAAGCGTGGTTGGTGGGGATAAGAGAGGGCCTTCTCAGTGGTGGCTGTCCATCTTCCAGAAAGACGTAAAGACTTGGATGTTCCAGTATGCCTTTGAATAATACTTAGCTACTGATCAAGTCCGACAGTGCTAATCTTTTGTTTGGATCTCCAGCACTTTATTCCCAGCCTGGCCCTACAGTTTTATGTTCACACTAGCACTTGTCCTGCCCAACAAGTCTCAAACCTGCACATGCCCACTTTTTGGCTATCGGTTGTTTGTTTGTGTGGTTTTTGTTTATAATGTTTTATATTTTATTGGTTTTACTCTTTTCAATATAGTTGATTGTTATATATATGTTAATTGTATTACCCTATAACCTTTGTTTATATTGGGCTTGGTCCCTATGTAAGCCGCCCCAAGTCCCTTCGGGGAGATAGAGGTGGGATATAAGAATAAAGTTATTATTAAAGTTATTATAAGACTGAATCCACACTGAAGAATTACAGCTATTTGACATATGAATTACCATGGCTCAATGCTATGGAATCCCAGGGTTTGTAGTTCTGTGATTTATCCTACTCTGTCTGAGAGCTCTACGCAATACAGTACAAATCCTAGGATCCCATAGGCATGACAGTCCATGGCAGTTAAAATGATGACGAAATGGCCATAATTTGGAGTGTGGATTGTCTTGTGACTGTAGAAATACAGAGCTTTCCCTCACTAATTTATGTACTCACATTAATGGAAAATAGCAATAACTATGACCATTTAGGGCCCCCTGGTGGCGCAGTGGGTTAAACCGCTGAGCTGCTGAACTTGCCGACTGAAAGGTTGGTGGTTCAAATCCAGGGAGCAGGGTGAGCTCCCGCTGTTAAACTCAGCTTCTGACAACCTAGCAGTTCAAAAACATACATATATGAATAGATCAACAGGTACTGCTTCTGCAGGAAGTTAACGGTGTTCCATGCAGTCATGCTGGCCACATGACCTAGGAGGTGTCTACGGACTACACCGGCTCTTCGGCTTAGAAATGGAGATGAGCATCACCCTACAAAATCAGACATTACTAGACTTAATTTCCAGGGAAACCTTTACCATAATGGGAATACTGTTGAGGGAGACGTAGTTTTAAATAGAATTTTCATAGATGCTTCCAGTGACTGTAAGTTCCATATGTCCTGGTTCACAGAGGCCTTTGTCTGCAAAAGTGAGAGAACTTCCACGGGGAGGTGAATTATGCTCAAGGATGAATTCACCGGAGTAGCGCTGGTGCAAGCTAACACTCCCTAATTGCTCTCAGCCGCATGAAGTCTACATTTGAAACAGAAAAGTAGATAAGACTGAACATCAGGGTCAGAGGCTATTGTCCTGCTTGTTTCTGAAAATCTGTATTAGCCAGATTAATAAAGATAAAGGTTTTCCCCTGACATTAAGTCTAGTTGTGTCCGACTGGAGGTTGGTGCTCATCTCCATTTGTAAGCCAAAGAGCCGGCATTGTATGCAGACACCGCCAAGGTCATGTGGCCAGCATGACTGCATGGAGCACCGTTACCTTCCCACCGGAGGTGTACCTATTCATCTACTCACATTTACATGTTTTCGAACTGCTAGGTTGATAGAAGCTGGGCCTAACAGCAGGAGCTCACACCGCTCCCTGGATTCTGAACTTGCGCCCTTTTAACAACTCAGCGGTTTAACCCACTGTGCCACCAGTTTAGACCAATTGAATAACTGATTTTTGAACACCAATGAGAATGTGTTTTTAATTATCTTTTAAAGTGATAAAAGCTGTGCAACCCTGTTGCAGGGTGACTTTTTGTGCGGTGTACACTAGCAGTGGTCTATTGCTTGGCCCACAATAAAAAGCCTTTGTAGTCAGAATCCAACTTGTGGCATCTTCCTTGTACAGCTGCCTAAGGCCTTTGGGTTCGTGCAGAGTTTGTTTGGAGTGCTGCTGAGCCAGAATCCTTACACCAGGCATTGGCAAACTTTTGGTCTTTGTTTGTTGTTCATTTGTTCAGTCGTTTCCGACTCTTCGTGACTTCATGGACCAGCCCATGCCAGAGCTTCCTGTCAGTCGTCACCACCCCCAGCTCCTTCAAGGTCAATCCAGTCACTTCAAGGATACCATCCATCCATCTAGCCCTTGGTCAGCCCCTCTTCCTTTTTCCTTCCATTTTCCCCAGCATAATTGTCATCTTTAAGCTTTCCTGTCTTCTCATGATGTGGCCAAAGTACTTCATCTTGGCCTGTACTATTCTTCCCTCCAATGAGCAGTCAGGCTTTATCTCCTGAAGTCTGGACTGGTTGGATCTTCTGGCGGTCCAAGGCACTCTCAGAACTTTCCTCCAACACCACAGTTCAAAAGCATCTATCTTCCTTCGCTCAGCCTTCCCTATGGTCCAGCTCTCACATCTGTAGGTGACTATGGGAATACCATTGGGTTGTTGTAGGTTTTCCGGGCTATATGGCCGAGTTCTAGAGGCATTTTCGCCTGCATCTATGGCAAGCATCCTCAGAGGTAGTGAGGTCTGTTGGAAGTAGGAAAATGGGTTTATATATCTGTGGAAAGACCAGGGTGGGACAAAGGACTTTTGTCTGCTGGAGCTAGGTGTGAATGTTTCAACTGACCACCTTGATTAGCATTTGATGGCTTGGAAGTGCCTGGGGGAATCTTTTGTTGAGAGGTGATTTGATGTGCCTGATTGTTTGCTCTCTGTTGTTTTGCTGTTGTAATTTTGGAGTTTTTTAATACTGGTAGCCAGATTTTGTTCATTTTCATGGTTTCTTCCTTTCTGTTGAAATTGTCCACATGCTTGTGGATTTCAATGGCTTCTCTGTGTAGTCTATGTAGGAATTTATTTATTTATTTATTTACTTTATTTGTATACCGCTCTTCTCAGCCCTTAGGCGACTCAGAGCGGTTTACAACAGTTTAGATATACAGAATACAAAATCATTATGCATTTAAAAACAATTACTAGTATTATATTGCATTACATTACAATATTATAAAGCAATACTATTGTTTTTTCTATGCGGATTTTTGTTGCCAGTGTGATGTCTCTACTCTTCACTATTTTATCAAGACTGGTCATTGCTCTCCTTTAACTCCCACAATTCCTAACAGCTTCAGCCCCCCTTCCCTTTTCCCCTCAGCCCGCTTAAGGAGCTGTTAGGAATTGTGAGAGTTAAAGTCCAAAACAATTGGAGGGAGGGCCCAAGTTTGCCCAGGCCTGGGCTAGTTGCTAAGGAGTCATAAGGACCCTCCCCATGGTTGTCAAGGGAGTTCATTGGGGAAAAGACCGGGTTGAGGGGAAGAGAGCTCTGCTGTCAATCACTGAGAGATTGGGGGAGGGAGGCGGGCAAAGGGGCGTGGCCTTCCTGCCCGCGCGCCGCCCTTGGCCCCGCCCCCAGCGAGCGCCTGTCAGCTGGAGCTGCTGCCGCATCCAAGATGGCGGCAGGGCCGGAGCGGGGCTGAGCAGCGGAGGCGGGGGCTGAGCGGGGCCGCCTCCTCCTCCTCCAAGGCGGCGGGATGGCTCGGGCGGTCGGAGCCGTGGGCTGGCCTTGAGGCGGGCGAGGAGAGGAGGCGGGGGCGCGAGAAGGCAGGAGCATGGCGGGCCTCATCAAGAAGCAGATCCTGAAGCACCTCTCCAGGTCAGTGAAGGCTGAGGGCGAGCGGGCAGGAGGGCCGTGCCTGTGCTTGGTCGTCAGTCTGGGCCTCACAAGGGAGTTGTGGGAGTGGTCCTGAAGGGTTAGGGCTCCGCGTTGTGTTTGTGGATAGAAAGGCAAAGCTGTGGCCTCTCCGTCCCCAGAACATCGCTTTCTTTGACCCAGCGAAGGGGAGAAGGCGCTTCCTTCCTTCCTTCCTTCCTTCCTTCCTTCCTTCCTTCCTTCCTTCCTTCCTTCCTTCCTTCCTTCCTTCCTTCCTTCCTCCCTCCCTCCCTCCCTCCCTCTCTCTCTCCCGCTTCTCACAACAAGGCAGGGCTTGGACCCTGACCCCATTCCGCTGCAGCAATGGAGGAGACCGTGTTCCTTGAGGAGTGCGGGCGGGAGTGGGTGGGTTGTAAATTGTGCCTGACACGTTGTGTGTGGGCGGGGCCAGCTCCCTTTGGGGTGACGTCACCGGCACATTGTGTGTTGCAGGTGCCAGATTGCTGTGCGGGTGACACATCCAGGCCAGTGGAGAGCTTGGCAACCCACGAGCAGTGAGCTAAACGCCCAAAGTTCTTGAGTCAACATGTCGCCCTCCTTCCCCACCCTAAGGGAAAAGAAGTAAACAAAAACCTTCCAAGTCCATAGATACTATATCTCTTGATATAAAAGTGGAAATATGTGTGTGTCATCATAGAGTTGGAAGAGATCTCGTGGGCCATCCAGTCCAACCCCCTGCCAAGAAGCATTCAAAGCACCCCCAACAGATGGCCATCCAGCCTCTGGTAATAGTATGAAAGCTGGGTTTGGAAGCTCTGAGCTGTTTCCGCTTCTCTCCTTCGGGAACGTTGTTTGCGCAACGCAGAAGGGAACCCAGATATTATAGAAGGAATGTAAGAGTTCTTTAATGGCAAAAACCAAACCCGCACCCTAACCCAAACTCTTTTTTTTTTTTTTGTCGTGTCAGGAGCAAGTCACTTCTGGTGTGAGAGAATTGGCCGTCTGCAAGGACGTTGCCCAGGGGACGCCCGGATGATTTGATGTTTTTATCATTCTTGTGGGAGGCTTCTCTCATATTCCCGCATGAAGAGCTGGAGCTGACAAAGGGAGCTCATCTGCCTCTCCCCAGATTCGAACCCGCAACCTGTCAGTCTTCAGTCCTGCTGGCACAGGGCTTTAACCCACTGCGCCACCAGGGGCTCCATAACCCAAACTCTAAACCTTACCCTAAACCAGGGGTCCTCAAACTTTTTAAATAGAGGGCCAGTCACAGTCCCTCAAACTGTTGGAGGGCCGGATTATAATTTGAAAAAAAACATGAATGAATTCCTATGCACAGTGCACAAACCTTATTTGTAGTGCAAAAAACAAACAAACTTAAAAACAATACAGTAATTAAAATCAAGAACAATTTTAACAAATATAAACTTATTAGTATTTTAATGGGAAATGTGGGCCTGCTTTTGGCTGATGAGATAGGATTGTTGTTGTTGTGTGCTTTCAAGACATTTCAGACTTAGGTTGACCCTGAGCAAGGGCCAGGGAAATGACCTTGGAGGGCTGTATTCGGCCCTCGGGCCTTAGTTTGAGGACCCCTGCCCTAAACTTTGCCCTAACCCAAAGCCTAACCCCTAACCATAACCCTAACCCTAAACCTTACCCTAGCCCTCCTCCCCTTTCTATCCTTCCACCAAATTCAGCTACGAAGTATATTCCTGCCCTCAGTGTGCTGCTCTCCCCTTCCCTTATTCACAACCACCATTGCGGAATGTGCGTAACGCTCAGAGCTTCCGGACCCAGCTATCATACTATCACCCAGCCTCTGCTTCAAAGCCTCGAAAGAAGGAGCCTCCACCATACTCCAGGGCTGAGAGTTCCACTGCTGAACAGCTCTCACAGGAAGTTCTTCCTCATGTTCAGGTGGAATCTCCTTTCCTGTAGTTTGAAGCCACGTCCTAGCCTCCAGGGCAGTAGACATCGCTTGAGGAATCTGAGACAAACTTGGTACTCATGCCCTTCATGATCTGTCTTAAAATACTGGTTATTAAAAATTCACCTCCATTACTAGCCCATGAAAATCAGTCATTTGAAGAGCATGGATGCATAAGGGATTTGCCTTATGTTTCCTGGAAATGTTGTAAGCTCTTTTCTGCAACTCTTATAACACAGATAATCTAGATCTGTCCCATTCAGCAGCAACAGTTTTGTGTTGTCTAGACCTGCTTTTGTCTCCTGTCATCTGAATATGTAGTCATTCCTGGGCATGTACACCTGAGGTTATCATAGAATCATAGTCTCGGAAGAGACTTTGTGGGCAATCCAGTCCAACCCCCTGCTGAGAAGCAGGAAAATTGCATTCAAAGCACCCTCAACAGATGGTCATCCAGCCTCTGTTTAAAAGCCTCCAAAGAAGGAGCCTCCACCGCACTCTGAACAGCACTCACAGTCAGAAAGTTCTTCCTCATGTTCAGGTGGAGTCTCCTTTCCTGTAGTTTGAACCCATTGCTCCGTGTCCTAGTCTCCAGGGCAGCAGAAAACAAGCTTGCTCCTTCCTGCCTATGATTGCCCTCACATATTTATTTATATGTGGCCCTCATGTCTCCTCTCAGCCTTCTCTTCTGCAGGCTAAACATGTCCCGCTCTTTAAGCCACTCCTCATATTTTGAGTGATGGAACATACCATCATTTTCCAAAAGATGCATTGGGAGAACAGTAATCAACAGTGTAATTTTGTGTGTGTGTATATAGCTACAGACAGATAGCCCCCAAGTTATGAACAAGATAGGTCCTGTAGGTTTGCTTTTAAGTTGAATTTGTATGTAAGTTGGAACAAGCACTTTTAAAAGTGTAACTCCAGCCATATATATATATATGCATGCATACATGCTTTGGATAGCATAGGGAAGGGGTAACATCCCTGTGGTGTTTATTTGGCTATCTGTGCCCCTGTTGAGAAGCTTTCACCTCAGTTTCTGTCCCTGTGAGAATTGGGTTTTGACAAATTTGACTTGTTCTGGGATTGGTGCAAAAGCTTCAGTTGAGACTCCTTTTGTCTCACCCCCGTTTGCAGCTATGAGTCATTTGTAAGTCGGAGACTGCCTGAGTAAACTATATATAAATACGCATGTGCGCGCGCACACATGCACACACACAAACATGTACACTCACAAGTAAGGTCATTGACTTTAGTGAGGCATGCGGGTTAAGTGTGTGCAGGACTGTAGGCGTAGGTGACACGAAGATAAAAACAACGAATAAGGCATATGAATTAACAAGTGGGATAACATGTTTAAAGTAGGCAGTAATATTTTATACACGATCTGTCCTAACTTGTGTTATGAAACATCAACTTAAGCGTATCCTTAGTGCTAGCAAGTGAGTGTTATAGATACTATTGTAAATATACTTGTGGAAGATAATAAATCCTTATCAGTAATTTTGCACTAGTTTACATAACCCAGGGCATGATTTGCAGGCACAGAACAATTATGTGGGCTTATCTGCATTCAAGCCTATCTGAGCACCTTCACTTCTATGATGGAAGCAAGGTCAATAAACATCCAGTGATTCAAGCTATGTTTGCCTATGAAGCAAGAATGCTTCTATCTTAAGTTGATGATGGTGAAGTAGTCTCTGCCATGAAGTGATCTGAGGGACTTCATCACACTAGAGAATGAATCCACTTTAAATCTGGTTTCTGCTTCCTGCAGAATTCTGGAGTTTGTAGTTTAGTGAGACTGGTAAACTACAAACCCCAGAATTTTGCAGGAGGCAGCAACCGGATTTAAAGTGCATTCATTCTCTAGTGTGATGAAGTAGATATGTTTCCCCAATTCATTTTAACTAGCTTGATTTTCTCTTCAAGATGCGAACAGAAGGAGAAAGGTCTGCTGTGGGAGGGCTAGAGTCAAGGACTCTTGATTTTCAGATACACTTTCAAATGCAGTGGCAAATCTTTGTCACATCTAGCCTGTGATAGATCTGTTCCTTCCCATTAAAATGAATGGGCAGGATTAAAAAAGATAACTGTGGAGCAAGCACAGAAACCAAAACACTGCTCTTTCCCTGCATCCAGCCTGCCTTTATGAGTCTGACATGACTTTGAATCTCTTCACTGTGACTCATAGCATTCTATAAGAGGAGGTGTAGCAAAGGTTTTCATTTGTGACCTTGGGCTTTTAAAGGACTAAACAGATTGTTTTTCAATCTTGCAATTCAAGTAGATAAAAATGATGTATTTTAAGCTAATCATTACACCCTTTTAATTTAGTACATTTTTATTTATGATTATAAATAAAAGCTCTTATACTACAGCCCTATGCATATCTACATGGAAATAAATCCTACTAGAACTAGTGGATGTTATAATTAAGTACATTATATATAAGATTGCACTATGCATTTTAAAAATCCTGTTTAAACAAAGTATTCATTGATTTTCAGTTGCTAATTATAATTTCAAGGTGCTTTGAGGTCTCTCAGTGAGTCAGAGCAGAGAGATAATCTTCAGATACTAGATTTAGTTACAAAAACATTTCATAATCTTTGGAAATATTACTTCATGCCCAACACATACTCTTCATAGATTGCATAAACCAAAACTAAAATCAATTAATTGTTTTTAGACTTGCTTTATCAGATGTGACATTAACATGCATATCATTTTCTGTAACCTAGTTGATCTTTAGTACTAGGAATATGAGCTGTTATATTGCATTTCTAAAAACACTGCTACCTTTCAGGTGTTAAGAACTTAACAGAACTACCCAACTCCTTCTACCATGTACTAATCCATAATACTACTGTACAAGAATGACTGGGATGTAAGTTTTGACCACTGCTTTTGATTATTCTAGCTATAAAAAGTGGGAATATGAGTTGCCGTGTAATCTGTGCCTTAATTCAGTTGCTTTCAGGAACCTTTAATTTTAAGGCCTTCTTCCAGAGTAGATGTGTTTCCAATTCTCTGCATTCACTACCTTTTGTGCATTTGAGTGAATGAT